ATACAGGCACACAGACCTACAGGCATACAGACATACAGGCATACAGACATACAGGCACACAGACATACAGGCATACAGACATACAGGCAAAACTGCAAAACTAAGTTCATCCTACTCAGGGAGGTGTAAAACGTTGAGATTTGTCAGAATTTCGTTTTCCATTTTTGTGCACGACTACCCTACTTCTATAATTCGTATACAAGAAAAAAATATACCTACACGCTTTTAAAGGCTTTACAAAAGTGAATTTATTTTCTTTAGCTAAATTGACAATAGAACTTGTGGCTAAAGGCTACAGATAGGCTATCATCGAAGATGCGTTAGGCTACTGGTTACGAAACTTAAGGCTGAGGCAATTAAAAGAAAACTTGATGAATTTGAGACTAGAACTAAAATACTGAGCGGGTGAGGGGGTGAGGGGCGGTAATAACGGGACAAATTTCCCCCAGTGAGTATGAGCAGACTACTCACACTGGTAATGAGTAGCGTTCAAGTGGAGAGTGGAAGAAATAATAGCAACACCCTCGGCTCATAGGCCGCCTCATATATTGACTATCGCTTATTGATTCATTGAACATCAACAGAAACATGTCTCATAGTTTCTAGTTTAGTGGGTTGTCGCGGGCGTTCCTGGGTTGCTGGGTTGTTGCTTTAGTTTCTAGGTTAGTGGGTTGTTGCTGTCGTTTCTGGGTTGTTTTGGTTTAAGAGCTTTTATTTGGTATTGCCCTAGATCAATCGTAAATCTGTCTCCAACTATTTCTACCTAGACACAGATATATATTTTATTTTCACGTGCACTTTTCGTCACTCCCCGTCTCTATTTGACCCACTCCCCGCCACTATTTGCCCCCCCCCCCCCCACCCGCCGCTATTTGCCCCACTTCACCCCACCCACCACTATTTGACCCACTCCCCGCTGCTATTTGCCCCCCACTCCACGCCACTATTTGCCCCACTCCCCGCCACTATTTGCCCCACTCCCCGCCGCTATTTGCCCCACTCCCCACCGCTATTTGCCCCACTCCCCGTCGCTATTTGCCCCACTCCCCTCCACTATTCGCCCTACTCCCCGCCACTATTTGCCCCACTCCCCGCCGCTATTTACCCCACTCCCCGCCACCATTTGACCCACTCCCCACCATTATTTACCCCGTACATAATCTCAAAGCAGAAACCTTTCTCACCTGCTCTTAATTTTTCTGTGGGACGAGGCAATGACGTCACGTTCAGAACTGGGGTAAATGGGGGGGGGGGGCGACGTTTTACCTACACCCCTCTTCCCCCTTACCCCTCCCCCCTCCCCCTCCCCCATCGATCAGCTGAGATACATCAAAACCTAGAAATATTTCTTGCTAAAAGTGGCCCCATTCAAAAATCCATTCCAAGCTTTTCTAAATGTGTGCTCATACCGAGAAGATTAGCCACGCAAGCATGTAAGAATAATCGTCCTAGTATAATAAACTTAAGTTTCTGAACGGGGACAACTGTACGTACATGGGCCGATTCTTTTATAAAAACTATGTGACAAATGCAATGCAAGTATAAAAGAACCTTAGAAAAATGTGTATACAAGAACATCAGAAAAATGTGTATAAAAGAACATGAGATAAATGTGTATAAAAGAACCTTAGAAAAATGTGTATAGAACCCAACCAAATCTAAACGTAAACAACACCCAGATTAAAAGTAAGCGCTGATGTGTGTACGTCGTCTCAGTATAGCTAAACTCTACAGTAGATAAAACCTACACATACCACACATACCACACACCACACAAACTCACATACACCACACACACATACACCACACAAAACACAACACACACACACGCCCACGCACCACACACATATATACACTACACACACACATCACACACACACAGTACACACACCACACAAACTCACATACACACCATACACACAAACTCATATATATATATATATATATATATATATATATATATATATATATATATATATATATATATATATATATATATATATATATATATATATATATATATATATATATATATATACCCTGACAGAGGGATCACTATTCTATTCCCTAGGTTTAGGTTTAGATTATCAGGTCAGTGCATGCCTGGTCGAACCCAAACTAGTTAAAAACATAACCTTAGTCTAAACTTAAATAAAACAAAGCTAAACAATAAATAAAATGTATTTTTTTAAGGGAACTAAATATAAAATAGTTAATTTAAAAAAAAAAAGACTCAAAGGGACAAAAGAAAACAGACTAAACATAACCAAACATACTAAACAAAAAATTAGTTAGCCAAAGTTAGTCATCGTGGGGAACCCACAATAAAAATAATCAGGTAAAATACTATTAAAACACGCACACGTTCACACTAGTTTAGGAAACCCACCTAAAGATCCACTAAACCCACCTAAAGATTCACTAAACCCACCTAAAGATCCACTAAACCCACCTAAAGATCCACTAAACCCACCTAAAGATCCACTAAACCCACCTAAAGATCCACTAAACCCACCTAAAGATCCACTAAACCTACCTAAAGATCCACTAAACCCACCTAAAGATCCACTAAACCTACCTAAAGATCCACTAAACCCACCTAAAGATCCACTAAACCCACCTAAAGATCCACTAAACCCCGTGGCCTAAAATTACAACACCGCCACGGATTCAGAAAACACAAAACAAAATTTTAAATCAACACACCACGTGTGTACCAGACCTGTCCATGTCTACCATCTCGTTTTAGACGAAATAGAAAGATCGAGAAACACATCGGCAGCCGCTTTCAAATCCAAACATAAAGCTAAAATTATGTAAATAAACCGGGAGCGTATTACACCTCAGTCCTTCATCACATCCGAAGTATAGAGGACTTATTTTAATCGGGCAAAAATTATCAATCTAGATTTATCAAAATTAAGAGGTTTTATGCGTAATCCAGTCTGAAAAACTGGGCTTTGCAATTCTGTCCGTATGTCTGTGTGTCTGTCTGTGTGTGTGTGTGTCTGTGTGTCAGAGTTTCTTCCAGGCATCTCTTCGGGGGGGCTTCGCCCCCCCCCCCCCCCCCGAAAATTTTTTACCGCCCCCCCGAACGAAATGAAATTTATATAATTTATATAGAAAATATATACTTTTAACAGTGTCCGGCCCCCCCCCCCGAAGAAAGTTTACCGCCCCCCCGAAGATTTCAAGTGCCCCCCCCCCCGGTGAAAAAAGTCTGGAAGAAACACTGCTGTGTGTAAACATGATTACTTGAGTACCGTTACAGCTAGGTTGATGAAATTTCATATATAAGTATTTTATCAAAATCGTAGATCCGTCTCAACTTTTGAGCGATTTCCAATAACCGGAAGTGGTACTTTTTCTACTTTGAATTTTTCAAAAGCCTATAACTTGAGTACTATTTCAGATAGATAAATGAAATTGCACATGTAAGTATAAGATCTAATTCTCTACCTTATGTTAAATTTTGAGTAATTTCCGTTGACCGGAAGTAGTAATTTACGCTACTTCCGATTTCTCAAAAAGCTAATGTAAATTTTTAAAGTACTAATAATATTGCGCACTATTATGCGCTTTTTTTATTTGGCGTTCACTTGGTGTGCAATTCTTTTGTCTACGAGATTTTATTCTATATTTAAAATGGATTAAAAATCATGTCTATAGCCCGAGTTCCCATCCCCTGTTGTTTTATATAAGAATATTCGAGAAAGTTTAGGGGAGATCACTCCCGGTTTATTTAAAAATGGAATCTCGAAGAAAAAAGAATTGCGCACCAAATGAACAGCAAACAATGTGTTTATAATAGTGCGGAACATTAGTACTTTATAAATTCATATGCGTTTTTTAAGAAATCGTAAATAGCGTAAAGTACCTAACACTTTCGGTCATCAAAAATTTCTCAAAATTCGACAGAAAACAGATAATTAGATCTTTTACTTATTTGTGAAATTTCCTACATCTATCACAAACAGTTATAGGCTGATGAAAAAAATGTGAGTAGAACAAATTCCACTTCCGGTTACCGGAAATCGCTAAAAAGTCGATGCAGAACTACAAATTTGATTTAATACTTCAATATTAAATTTCATTAACTTAGCTGTAACGGTACTCCAGTTATCATGTCCACAGACACACAGACATACAGACAAGCAGACACACAAATACACACACAAACATACAGACAAGATTGCAAAATTAAGTTCATCCAACTGAGGGAGGCCTAATCGTCGAGATTTGTCATATTCTCTATTCCGATTTTTTGCACGATGACAATACTCCCCCTCGGTATACGAGAAAGTCGAAATGTTGAGAACACCTTTAAAAATGTGAGCGTTGTGTGTAGGCTACAACTGATTCCCCCCCCCCCCCCCCCCCACATGAAATATCTGTCCCTCGTTTATCATTTAATGAAGACAGCCACTCATCCGCTCACCCGGGGCGTCATAACTCACGAGCGATAGCTGTAATACGTTTCTAGCGGAACACTGCTGCACCTACTTCAGTGTTTAAACACTGTTAAACGCCTAGTGTTTAGGTTCAGTCGTTAATTTATTGTTTCGCTTAATTAGCTTGCTTGTGCTCCTGTCAGATAATTTAATTAACCTAATTAATCGGTTGTAAGAAGTAATTAACCTAGTTTAAATATTTTCAATAACAGATAAATGGCTCTTTTATTTTTTTTTCGCCTCAGACATGTAATTTATAGCGTCAGTTTGCCTTACATGTTCGCTTTAGTATTACAGTTAACAATATCAGCTTGTGAACTTTTAATATTTTTTTTCATTTTTGAACATTAACTTATATTCGAGCTACTGCTTGAACTTTATTATGAATATGATATCACACAAGGTTTAACAATTACCAATTAAATGTTTATAGATCTAGATATTGTTTTGAAATCATGCATATTTTGTATTTTAAAAATTGTAATAAAGTTTACAAAATGAAAAGTCGAAGAAAATATGAGTTGCGTGTAAAAAGATTATTTTGCTTACCCTCTTTACACCGCCGCAATTAGAAAAGCCAATGAGTCTCAGTCATTAAAATATGAATTAACTCCACACATGAACGCCACCAATCAAGGGGCAGAACTCTCGATGTTATACAGAGTTGCGCGCCCTGAGCACTTGCCGCAACATCGGCTACAATACGAAAACTTGAAACAGCCGCTTTCAAGCGCAAAAGGTGAGATAGATTTCTGGCCAAGGGACGCAACTCGTTTAGACCTGGCATCAAACGGGAGTCGAGCGACGGGTTAAAGTTTAAAGGTTAAATGTCACTTTCAAAGCTTAAACTGTTGCACGGATGGATTTGAAAAGTCTAGATCCACTTTTTAAGTTGCTGCTATTTATATGCTGTAATATGTGATGAATTTTAGCTGGTGTGTGGGGAAATATGTGGGGGCAATTGTGTGAGTGGGGGGGGGGCGTTTCGTCTCTCGCCCGTTTGCTGTGTTGTGATTAGTAGCCCATTCTTGATAGACAAAGTGCTCTAATTGATTATGCTAATTACTCAGGTGTTTTAGGTCTGACGTGGGCCTGCATCAAACACGCGGCGGAGTGGGAGTGGGGGTGGGGGGTAGAACAAAATGGCGGCGATTGATGCGAATGTGCGAAGATGAAATTTGGTCACATTAAAACGTTTTTGGCTACGGGCAGTGCCAGAGTGTATTAGCGTTAAAAAAAACATCTAAATTTGTATTCGTAGTTATATGTGGGTCTCTTAGTTTTACAGGTGTGTTATACGTGGGTCTCATTGTTATACATGTGTGTTATATGTGGGTCTCATAGTTATACAGGTGTGTTATACATGGGTCTCATTGTTATACATGTGTGTTATATGTGGGTCTCATAGTTATACAGGTGTGTTATATGTGGGTCTCATTGTTATACATGTGTGTTATATGTGGGTCTCATAGTTATACAGGTGTGTTATATGTGGGTCTCATAGTTATACAGGTGTGTTATATATGGGTCTCATAGTTAAACATGTGTGTCGTAGTTACAAACGTGTTTCATAACTCTATTCTAAACGTATTTTGCACTACGAACTTGGCCTTGCATGAAATCAGATGAAATGTTCCGTCTACTGTGGGCCACTATGGTTGTGCGGGCCCACCGTTTTTTTTTTAGCTGTTTGATTTGTCAGAACATACAATGTTCATTAGCAATCATTTGACGGGGCTTTGAGACTTGGTTTTAGTAGGCAATTAATCCATACCTTCTGCGCCGCTAATTCTTCTTTTGATTCTATTGTTAGATGTGGATTTGGTAGGCTCTTCTCACGCCTTTAATGTGGGTGGGTGGGGGGGGGGAGTGGGGGCTATGTTGGTGGGGGACTATGTGTGGGGGGGGGGGGGGCTCGAAGATCGAATACGGGATAGGTGAGCAGCAAATAGAGGGGGTGGGGCTAATATTGGGGGTGAGGGGGCTGGTATGGTTATAACAACAATGCTATTTATAGAACTTACGTGGGAGTTTCTAAGCAAGTACCCATTAGGATCTAAAAATAGTTTAAATATTGCACTATAATTTAGGGTGTAGTAGATGTTCTGCTACTTTAGTAAAGTAGCGTCGTTAAAGTCATGTAGCATCCTTACAGTAAAGTCATGTAGGGCCTTAAAGTAGAGTAACAAAGTTTCCTTACAGTAAAGTCATAAAGCGAGTCATGTAGCGCCCCTCCAGTCAAGTTATAAAGCGCCCCTCCAATCAAGTAATGTACCGCCTTCACAGTTCAGTTTGAAATTAATTTTGAGGCTGCTTTAGAGCGCCTCCTATCGGATTATCTCCTGGCGTGTTCAGGTAGATACAAGGGAAGATAATCCTCTTGCGGTAACTCGTCCAAATTTGATGAGATCTGATGCTCGCCTCAACCTTCACGTTTTTCTCTTTCTTATCGCCATCTTTTTTTCTAGAGCTACTTTTTTACGTCAACGGTGGGGTATTTGTAGATGGGGTATTTGTTAGAGGTGTATTTTTAGGTGGGGCATATGTAAAGACCATCTGAAGTAAACTTTTATTTAATTACTTTTAACAAATTCTTAAACTTACCAACCGATTATTGAAGGAAGAATCGGCACAACGAATTGAACTCTACCTATGTCGCATGACGCATCTATTTAATAACGCCAACGTAGTTTTCAACCATCCTATGTTTAACCAATCCGTTTAATAATTGTTTTGTTGTTACATTTTTAAATTGCACACCTTGGTAATCCCCCACCCCAAAAAAAAGCATCACCCCCGCACCGAATCATACAGTGAGATACGTATTACAGGCAGGGGCGGAACTACAGTGCCGCCAGACCCCGCAATGCGGGGGGGCCCACGACGTTTAGGGGCCCAATTCCGACCAAAAAAACAATGAATTTTCTTTTCATAAAAAATGTTTTTTGTGCACCTTGATAGTAGTTTTGTAAAACAAATAACAAGTCTACTGTAGCAGTGATTGTTCTACAGTGACTAACACACACTGTTGCGAAGAAAAATATAAAATCTACAAGAGCTCTACTTTGAAAGATAGGCAAACGTTCACACTACTTCAGTAGCGTAGCGAGGGGGGGGGGGCGGGGGGCGGGGGGGGGGGACATATGTCCCCGGGCGCCTACCTTAGGGGGGGCGCCAAATTGAAAGTTTGAGGGGGGGTGCAAATGAAAAGTTCGAGGGGGGGTGCAAAACGAAAGTCTGAGGGGGGGGGTGCAAATGAAAAGTTCGAGGGGGGGGGGGTGCAAATCGAAAATTTGCTCCCAAGGGGGCGCCAAATTGAAAGTATGTCCCCGGGCGCCGGGAAGGGTCGCTACGCCTCTGCACTACTTCCATGACTTACTGCCCTTCATCAAAACACGGGTGCCCATAAAGCTCATTTAAATAGTTTTGTACTATGTAAATTAAAGAGTCATTTATTCTCTTAATTATTATTTAAATAAGGCATATTAAAGAATCCTATAGCTTTAAAAATGAATGTTTTCAAAACTAATAATATAAATACAAAAAATCATAAAAATAAACATAACGCGAGAAACCATTTCAAAATCAAGCTTATGTGTTTATATAATTTTGACCAGCCAGCAATGTTAATATTTCAGTCTGCGATATAATCGTAAGTTTGAAAGCGGACTTTAAACCCCAACCAAGAAGAAGAAAATGTTGTCACAATTTTCGGTAAACATAAAGTCGTAATACAAACATTTGTTAAACATGATTATTGCGGCCCCGAAATGTTTTCTGGTTCGTTATCTCAGAGTGGTTATACATTGCAATAAAATAGATTAAAATACTCAGGTAATAGACAATTTAAAATTTTGAGAAGCGGGCTACTTATATATATGTATGTATATATATATATATATATATATATATATATATATATATATATATATATATATATATATATATATACATATAGGGGGGCCCAAAATTTGTTTTTGCGGGGGAGCCTTTTTTTTCTAGTTCCGCCACTGATTACAGGAAGATATACTCAACATGGAGAAATCATTTTGACCAGTTTTTAATTATTAGAAATATTTTTTTTTCATTAATTTTGACAGCTTGGCTGCTTGCCGAAAATTAGTGAACAAGCCTTGTCTTAAAAAATTAAACATGTTGTCAATGGTATGATTAACTAGCAGCGGAGACAACTCAGAAAATGTAGTAGTCTACAAGTTGGCAACACTTGCCTCCCTTGAGTGGCTAAAACGATTTTCGAATACCTGTAAATTCAGCAGTGTGTTGATGGAGAAGGGGGGGGGGGGGGTACTGACATCACTCACTCACAAAAATAAACAAGGGTTGTTTTATTAATTAGAATTTTATTAATTATATTAAATCAGCAACATTATGTTTCCTTGATTGACATCTATAGCTATCCTGTAACTTTCTGTTGTGTCTGTTGATATGTTTGTGGTTTTCCTCTGATATTCTGGTAGGTTCTTGTTTTCTTATGGTACTGTGGTGGTTTTCTGGTGGTTGTTGACTTCCTGTGGTGGTTTTCTGGTGGTTGTTGATTTACTGTGGTGGTTTTCTTGTTATATTTTGTTGATCTTCTTGTAGTTACGGTTTTCCTGTGGTATTTTGGTTATCTGGTGGTGCTTGTATTCTGGTGGAGTTGTGGTGGTTTTCGGTGGAGTTGTGGTTTTCCTGTGCGGTGGGATTTATTTCCCCGCCCCTCCCTGGTAGTCCATGATGAGGGACTGGACGTACCCTGCCGCCTGCTGGTAGAGGGCGCCGGCCGTGGACATGGCGCACTGGCCCAGACACTTGGGCAGACAGGTGGTCAGCGAGGCGCTGCAGTTGTCCAGAAGATCCGTCTTGCCGGCCCGGCAGGCGTCCAGCTCGGCGCCGCACTGGATGCCGCAGGTGTCGCCACAGGTGCAGACGAGCGAGCAGACGCCGACACAGGTCTGGCTGACCTTCTGGCAGACGTCAGGGATGTTGATCGGCAGGAACCTGCAGGTCTGGGACCACTGGTCGCAGACACCTGTGCAGGTTTGGTTACAGGGAGCAGCCATGGTCACAGCTAGAGCTGCAGCTAGAATCATCAGCGTCGTCATTGCTGCGACCGGAAGAAAACATGACTTAAAACTAAATAAAGCATGAGTTAACACTGAATGAAATATGACTTAAAACTAAAATGAAATATGACTTAAATCTAAATGAAGCATGACTTAAATCTAAATGAAGCATGACTTAAAACAAAATGAAACATGACTTAAAGCAAAATGAAACATGACTTAAAACTAAATCAAGCATGACTTAAAACAAAATGAAACATGACTTTATGGGACGGCGTGGTTGAACGGTAGGGCAAGTAAAGGCGGCTGGGGGTAGTGCTGACCACAATATCCCTTCAGATGCCGTGGTCACAGAAATAGGTGAACTCTACTTCACTTGTGCAATAGACCGTTCGAAAGGCAAATTTAATTAATATAACTTTAAAATATGACTTAATCAAATATCAATCTTTGGCATGACTTACAAATGTATACATGACTGACGAGCAAATTAGTGTAAGTGCTCACACTTTTTGTCAAGCAATGTTACCATACCCCACCCTATCCACCAACATACCCATATCCTGAAATTAAATTAATCTAACTCTAAATCACAAAACCTACACCCTAAACCACAAAACCTACTACCCAAACCCCAAAACTTACACCCTAAACCCCAAAAGCTACATCTTAAACCACAAAACCTGCACTCTAAACCACAAAACCTACACTCTAAACCACAAAACCTACACTCTAAGCCCCAAAACCTACACCCTAAACCACAAAACCTACACCCTAAACCACAAAATCTACCCCCTATAAACGAACCACACACGTTCAACTACCTGCCCTAGCGATATTTGAAAGCACGTAAAGTAGACATAGGTGAGTACTTACAGTCCATGTCTCCTGATACAAATTCACGTGTCTTCAGGTGTTCACACTGGTCCAGTTGAGAGAGGACGGGTTTATATCCCGTGGGTCCAGTCCTACTGGCGCGTACTGGCAGGCCTAACACATTTACATACGTGTGTCACTTGGCACTCACCCTCGTCTCATCTTTCTCGCTGACGACAGCACGTGCATCCCGCTTCATTAGCTTCTCGTCACGCACCAGTGGACACGACCCTGCGTGACGTCAAGACACGCGGTGGCTGGTGCACCTGACGTATGACGTCACCTGGTGGAATCGCCGTCCTCAAAGAGGAAATATTGTTCATCTAATTAATAAAAGGTGGTTCATCTAATTAATAAAAGTTGTTCATCTAATTAATAAAAGTTGTTCATCTAATTAATAAAAGTTGTTCATCTAATTAATAAAAGTTGTTCATTTAATTAATAAAAGTTGTTCATCTAATTAATAAAAGTTGTTCATCTAATTAATAAAAGTTGTTTATCTAATTAATAAAAGTTGTTTATCTAATTAATAAAAGTTGTTTATCTAATTAATAAAAGTTGTTCATCTAATTAATAAAAGTTGTTTATCTAATTAATAAAAGTTGTTCATCTAATTAATAAAAGTTGTTTATCTAATTAATAAAAGTTGTTTATCTAATTAATAAAAGTTGTTTATCTAATTAATAAAAGTTGTTCATCTAATTAATAAAAGTTGTTTATCTAATTAATAAAAGTTGTTCATCTAATTAATAAAAGTTGTTCATCTAATTAATAAAAGTTGTTCATCTAATTAATAAAAGGTGGTGTTCATCTAATTAATAAAAGTTGTTCATCTAATTAATAAAAGTTGTTCATCTAATTAATAAAAGTTGTTCATCTAATTAATAAAAGTTGTTCATCTAATTAATAAAAGTTGTTCATTTAATTAATAAAAGTTGTTCATCTAATTAATAAAAGTTGTTCATCTAATTAATAAAAGTTGTTTATCTAATTAATAAAAGTTGTTTATCTAATTAATAAAAGTTGTTTATCTAATTAATAAAAGTTGTTCATCTAATTAATAAAAGTTGTTTATCTAATTAATAAAAGTTGTTCATCTAATTAATAAAAGTTGTTTATCTAATTAATAAAAGTTGTTTATCTAATTAATAAAAGTTGTTCATCTAATTAATAAAAGTTGTTCATCTAATTAATAAAAGTTGTTTATCTAATTAATAAAAGTTGTTCATCTAATTAATAAAAGTTGTTTATCTAATTAATAAAAGTTGTTTATCTAATTAATAAAAGTTGTTTATCTAATTAATAAAAGTTGTTTATCTAATTAATAAAAGTTGTTCATCTAATTAATAAAAGTTGTTTATCTAATTAATAAAAGTTGTTTATCTAATTAATAAAAGTTGTTTATCTAATTAATAAAAGTTGTTCATCTAATTAATAAAAGTTGTTTATCTAATTAATAAAAGTTGTTCATCTAATTAATAAAAGTTGTTTATCTAATTAATAAAAGTTGTTCATCTAATTAATAAAAGTTGTTTATCTAATTAATAAAAGTTGTTCATCTAATTAATAAAAGTTGTTTATCTAATTAATAAAAGTTGTTCATCTAATTAATAAAAGTTGTTTATCTAATTAATAAAAGTTGTTCATCTAATTAATAAAAGTTGTTTATCTAATTAATAAAAGTTGTTCATCTAATTAATAAAAGTTGTTTATCTAATTAATAAAAGTTGTTCATCTAATTAATAAAAGTTGGTTATCTAATTAATAAAAGTTGTTTATCTAATTAATAAAAGTTGTTTATCTAATTAATAAAAGTTGTTCATCTAATTAATAAAAGTTGTTTATCTAATTAATAAAAGTTGTTTATCTAATTAATAAAAGTTGTTCATCTAATTAATAACAGTTGTTTATCTAATTAATAACAGTTGTTTATCTAATTAATAAAAGTTGTTTATCTAATTAATAAAAGTTGTTTATCTAATTAATAAAAGTTGTTCATCTAATTAATGAAGTTGTATCAGTCGTGTGACTTCTAGCACCCACACACTGCCTGGTCGTACCTGGTTGTTGTAGCCCCAACATCATGAGCATATCACGTGACTTGTGACAATTGTGCGGGATTTTTTTGGTGTTGTTGCTGATGTTTTAGTTGATGCTATGGTAGATGGTGTGGGGGATTGTGTGGTAGTTGGTGTGGTAGGTGGTGTGGGAGGTGGTGTGGTAGATGTGTGTGACAGATGGTGTGGTACATGGTGTGGTAGATGATGTGGTACATGGTGTGGTACATGGTGTGGTACATGGTATGTTAGTTGGTATAGTAGATTAGTGAGCATAAATTTTTTAGTTGTTTTTTTTTCGAGATTTTCGTCACTCATCAGTTACTGTAGCCGTCCACTCCACCTCCACCCATCAGCCTGAGACAACACATTAACATTAAAACACATTTTTTCGGACACAATGGTAGCCTACCCTACACGCAATAAACTCTACTCATTAGAATTTGGTTTTGTTTGTTTTATTTTACCCCCGAATTATAATCAGTTCACATTACATAACAGGGGAAGTTAATCTCAGTGTATTCTGTTTTCAAACCAAGTTTAGTAAATACAACCCACCCACATGCACACACACACACACACACACACACATACACATACTATCTCCTTAAACACGCATTCAAAACTTCACCTCCACACACCACACACACGCGACAACATCTCGACTACACAGCCCACTCATCACAACATCTCACCCCCACCCAACCCACACATCACAACACATCCCACCACAAAGCCCATACATCACAACCCCCCCCCACACACACACACATCACTACACCTCACCCCAGACAGCCCACAACACATCATATCTCACCCCCTCACCCACACATATCAATACATAACTACACCTCACCCCACACAGCCCACACATCACAACATCTCACCACCCACACAACCCACACATCACACCTCATCCCCTCACCCTCACATATCAATACATCACTACACCTCACCCCCCCCCCACACACACACATCACTACACCTCACCCCACACAGCCCACACATCACAACACATCCCCACACACACCACAACACCTCACCCACACATATCAATACATCACAACACCTCACCCCCACACATGCCCACACATCACAAACCCTACTACCCCTACCAAAACAACGTTGAACTACATTTGGCCACCTGTGGTCATCTAATGGGCCACCTGCCACGGGCCATCTCTAAGTGGCCACCGCTGGTCCTGGCCGTGCTACGCCATTAGCACCTATGACGTCACCAGTGTCCGATGTCAGAAGCTCGGAGTTAAAAGTTTTCAAACACTTGGTTGTACAGCTCGGGTTACATCTGACACGAGTTCGTTTAGCCGGCTCAAATTGCATCCAGCTGTATGGTGACGCTACCCAGCCCTACCCTACCCTACCCTACTCTACCTTACCTTACTCTACCTTACATTACCTTACATTACCCTACCCTACCCTACCCAGCCCTACCCTACTCTACCCTACCCTACTCTACCTTACCTTACTCTACCTTACATTACCTTACATTACCCTACCCTACCCTACCCTACCCTACCCTACCCTACTCTACCTTACCTTACTCTACCTTACATTACCTTACATTACCCTACCCTACCCTACCCTACCCTACCCTACCCTACCTTACCTTACCTTACCCTACCCTACCCTACTCTACCTTACCTTACCTTACCCTACCCTACCCTACCCTACCCTACCCTACCCCATCCTACCCTATCCCGCCTTACACTACCCTAACCTACCCTAGCCTGCCCCACCCCACCCTACCCTACCCTAAACTATCCTACGCTACCCTATCCGACACCACTCTACACAGACCTACACTACCCCATCCTACCCTACCCTACCCCACCCTACCCTATCCGACCCCACTAACCTACAGTACCCTGCCCTACCCTACCCCACCCCACGCCACCTCACCCCACCCTACCCTACTATAAGTGGATAAATCGACGGATGATGGATGGATGGGGTGGATGGATAGACGAATAGACAAAAGGGCAGATTGTTGGACAAACGGATGGACGGACGGATGGACAAATGGACAGTAGTTTAGATGGATGGATGGAAGTTACATATAACGTTCTAAATTCTGCGACGTAGAGCTCAGTGATGTGGACAGGGTGACGCCCACTTCCGTCACGTGATAGGGGATCAAATGCCGGTTAGGGTTAATATCAGTAACACGACCACACCCCGAAGACACAAGTACTCCACAATTAATTAGCGTCGGTTTTTTTTAAACACCATCCACTCATAGCATTAATGGCTCTCCAACCAAGCGTGGCGTAACGGCCAATATAACCGTCTTCCTCCAAGCCATAGATTATCCCAGGTGATCTAGTTGTTACTGACCGCAGCTAACTCAACATTCAACATGAAAGGTAAGTTTACATTTTTACCTGTCGTTTTCTTGTGATGTGACCATGGTTTTAGCCGGTCTCAGTCGAGGTCTCAGTCGAGGTCTCAGTCGAGGTCTCAGTCGAGGTCTCAGTCGAGGTCTCAGTCGAGGTCTCAGTCGAGGTCTCAGTCGAGGTCTCAGTCGAGGTCTCAGTCGAGGTCTCAGTCGAGGTCTCAGTCGAGGTCTCAGTCGAGGTCTCAGTCGAGGTCTCAGTCGATGTCTCAGTCGATGTCTCAGTCGAGGTCTCAGTCGAGGTCTCAGTCGAGGTCTCAGTCGAGGTCTCAGTCGAGGTCTCAGTCGAGGTCTCAGTCGAGGTCTCAGTCGAGGTCTCAGTCGAGGTCTCAGTCGAGGTCTCAGTCGATGTCTCAGTCGATGTCTCAGTCGAGGTCTCAGTCGAGGTCTCAGTCGAGGTCTCAGACAGAAGTTATTCGACGATTGTCTCCCATGTGTTGTCGAAGAACAATCTACATTGCTTTCTGCTGTTGAGCTTGCTGCGGTGGTTCGATTTCTGGAACTCTTTGGTTTTTGGTAGTAAGAAAGTTTTACATTTTCCGCGGTCGATCAGCTGGTAGGATTAACTATCAGTTGGTTAAACATGACGGGATTAAAGATTAGTGGGTCAAACGTGATAGGATTAAAGATTAGTGGGTGTAGCTGCAGCAGGAGAAGATTTGAACCAGCTCTCTGGTTTCATCACGGTAAGTAGAGCTACAGCTACACACAATCTCCGGCTTCTGTGGAAAACATTCTCCGGCTTCTTATTTAAGTAAAGTTCCCTTTTCAAACCCAACTGTCCATAAGGGAAGTAGAGTTCATCTGTTTTAGTGACCTTGGTATATGAAAGGATACTGTGGTTAGCACTAAGCTCAGCCGTGTTTACATTGGCTAACGTGAGTTAGGTACCCACCTAAGCTGGGTGGACTCGAGACTTTTGGGTTAGCAGTCTAGCGCTCTACCGCTACACCACGCCGTCGTTTGTTGTTTTTTTTTGGTGGGGGGGTGTAAACCAGTCGTTGACTTTGTCAAGAGTTCAAGGTCGCTACCTTTTCTCAAGAGTTCAAGGTCGCTACCTTTGTCCCATTTCAGTTCTAGCCCTTGCCCTGCTGACCTGCCTGTCGACCCTGCAGACTGAGGCCACTCAATGCACGGACGCCTGTCTCGGACTCTGCCAGTTGCAGGAGAACGTTTGCAACAGCGCCGAAATCCCGGTCTTCAAGCAGTCGTGCATGAAGCAGGTGGAGACCTGCAAGGCCGTCTGCACCACCACCTGCGGCTGTGTCGACACCTGCATGACGGAGAGCGCCAAGGTGAGGGACGAGTGTAACGTAGAGGCCGCCGACAACGTGCTCAAGCAAGTCGGCTGCTACTTCAAGGGTCTGTTTGCCGAGAACACGTGCCGGGGCCAGTGTTTTGGTGAGAAGGCCAAGGAGGCGCTCCAACCACTGCTGGCTCAGCTCATGCAGGCCCTTGGGGGTCTTTTCGGCCAGGGTGGGGCTCCGCCAGCAGCGGCTCCCTGAAGCCACAGGTGAAAGGTCACTGTATTCAATGAAATAAATGTGACTGAGCTCAATTGAGTTGTGTGAGTTTTTTTTAAACTGTCTTGTGGGTTGTATCAGACACCAGGGGCGTGTTGCTTTTGGGTGAAAAAATATATATCATTGATAAAAACTTCAGCTGGATCTAGATCTAGCTCCGTTTTGTTCAATTTTAGTATCGAGTTACTCTATCCTTGCAATATTTAGTGAAATGAAAAAAATACAAGATTTTAACTACTACCTGAAAATTATCTATTTTATAATTTTTAGTAACTGGTCGTTCTGGCAATCTTACTTCAGTTGCAAAAGTTAATATTTCAATCTTAATTTAAATTTTCTTACCAAGTTTACACGACTAGCTTGCTGCGCGTACTCTAGATTAATATTGATAGAACCGTAAATATCTGCTGCTGCCCCCCCCCCCCCCACCTCACACACCCCTCACATGCCATCGTCACACAAGGAGCTGAGTGTATATGACAGTAGACCAGCAGATCTAGACCACACATTTCCAGAGACCCCTGAATCACCCAACTAGATGCCAGACGGTCTAACTTTACTGTCAAGCTCACTTGTAAGATGGGAAGAGCTTTTTGGGGTTTTATTTCAAGAAACAAAAATTTGTTGTGTATATTTTTTATTTGATCCTTTGAAACACTAGACATTTACATCTGACAAAAAGCAGACATTTAGATCTGTCAGACACCTATCAGAGACAGCAGATATGCAGACTTTTACAAATGTAAGAAACAAACATCGGCCAATCAGCAGTCATGTCTAGCATCCAATCAAATCAAGAGGGACATCAGCCAATCAGCAGTCATGTCTAGCATCCAATCAAATCAAGAGGAACATCAGCCAATCAGCAGTCATGTCTAGCATCCAATCAAATCAAGACGGACATCTGGGTCTACAGAAAGGTGTGTGTTCAGAACTGTTGTCTTCGTCTGAAAAAGTGGACATTGTTTTAAAAAAGATAAAGAGAGGTGGTGGTCTTGATACATAATTGTTTGAATGGTGTGTACAAATATGTGCAGGGGCATGAAAACAGTAAAGAAAACAGTAAAGCCACCCGCTCCCCTCCCCAGCTAAACATAATGTGTAGAACAGATAGATTTACTGTGTGGAACATAAGCCCCCCCCCCCCAGCTAGACTTGCTGTGTAGAACAGTGTTTCTTCCAGACTTTTCTCCGGGGGGGGGGGGGAGGGGCACTTGAAATTTTCGGTGGGGGGGGGGGGGGCGGTAGACTTTCTTGGAGGGGGGGGCACACTGTTAAATGTATATATTTTCTAATAACTTTTTTCGGCCCCCGAAGAGATGACTGGAAGAAATTCTGAACATAAGCCCCCCCCCCTACCAGCTAGACTTACTGTGAGGAACATAAGCCCTCTCTATGGTTGATATGACGATGAAGAGCACGCAGAAGATGACGATACCCATGACGATGTAGTTGATGACGTAAACAGCCTCGTTTTTCTGTCGCTCCAGCTCAGCTGCTGACATCACGTGATCAGCCACGTCGATTCTCTGAAAGTCAAGGTCAGGTGTTGGTCAGTTCTTGTCCAATCTGGAAACTATTCTCGCCTTCCCCCCCCCCCCCCCCAAGCTATTATGTTAGACTACTAATTACATAATTACATATGTTATCAAAAGAAAGTCCAAGGGACGTAAGCAAAGAAATAAGGGATACAACTTGACTCAACACTTCCAAACACTTCCTTAGCGATTTATTCCTAGAGTCTTCAGTTTTGTTTTTGGGTTTGTGTTGATTTACAATAGATACATGTTAAAAAGTTTAAGAAATGGTTTGAAACAGATGAACCAGGTAACCAGATGAACCAGGTAACCAGATGAACCAGGTAACCAGATGAACCAGGTAACCAGATGAACCAGGTAACCAGATGAACCAGGTAACCAGATGAACCAGGTAACCAGATGAACCAGGTTACCAGATGAACCAGGTTACCAGATGAACCAGGTAACCAGATGAACCAGGTAACCAGATGAACCAGGTAACCAGATGAACCAGGTAACCAGATGAACCAGGTAACCAGATGAACCAGGTAACCAGATGAACCAGGTAACCAGATGAACCAGGTAACCAGATGAAACAGGTAACCAGGTAACCAGATGAACCAGGTAACCAGATGAACCAGGTAACCAGATGAACCAGGTAACCAGATGAACCAGGTAACCAGATGAACCAGGTAACCAGATGAACCAGTATAAAACAAGTTAATAAAAAGTCTAGTGACAATTTAAGCGCAATTTCCTTAATTTTTTGTGACCGAACGAAAGGATATTTTTGAAAACTTTCTTCGGCAATATTGTTCTAAATTATTGCAGGAATCGATTGGTAAATGTTTCAAGTCGCTAAGTGGTCTGGTTGCCGAGATATGGGCCAAAAACTGCATTTTTTTCGCGGTTTTTTTTTTTTTTGCTTTTCCGGGAAATCCAGGAAGGAATTCCGGGAATTTTTAGGCCCACAATCATCCTCGGAACTTGCTTAACATATTTGCTTTTGGAACTAGTCCTCGATATTGCTTCGTTGAGGAGGAGATACGACTTAAAGCTGCGGACTAAAGCTGCGGACACACATCCATCCAGAAATGACGAGTTAATAATCGCAATTCCTGTAAGGAAATTGCGCTAAAAAATACCTACCGTGTCTATCCAGTACAGGGGTAGGGTGGTGTCATCGACCACGTTCTCTGGCATACGCAGGTTGTACTGGAACCTTCTGGACTGTGACGTCACGATACCGCTGTACTGGAAACATGTGATAGTGGGTCAGTCAGTGGGTCAGTCAGTGGGTCAGTTGGTGGGTCAGTTGGTGGGTCAGTTGGTGGGTCAGTTGGTGGGTCAGTTGGTGGGTCAGTCAGTGGGTCAGTCGATGGGTCAGTTGGTGGGTCAGTGGGTCAGTTGGTGGGTCAGTCGGTGGGTCAGTCGGTGGGTCAGTTGGTGGGTCAGTGGGTCAGTTGGTGGGTCAGTGGGTCGGTCAGTTGGTGGGTCAGTTGGTAGGTCGCCTATTGGGTCAGTTGGTGGGTCAGTTGGTGGGTCAGTTGGTGGGTCAGTGGGTGGGTCAGTTGGTGGGTCAGTGGATGGGTCAGTGGATGGGTCAGTCGGTGGGTCAGTTGGTGGGTCAGTTGGTGGGTCAGTGGATGGGTCAGTGGATGGGTCAGTGGATGGGTCAGTGGATGGGTCAGTGGATGGGTCAGTTGGTGGGTCAGTTGGTGGGTCAGTTGGTGGGTCAGTTGGTGGGTCAGTCGGTGGGTCAGTGGATGGGTCAGTGGATGGGTCAGTGGATGGGTCAGTGGATGGGTCAGTGGATGGGTCAGTGGATGGGTCAGTTGGTGGGTCAGTTGGTGGGTCAGTTGGTGGGTCAGTGGATGGGTCAGTGGATGGGTCAGTGGATGGGTCAGTGGATGGGTCAGTGGATGGGTCAGTTGGTGGGTCAGTTGGTGGGTCAGTTGGTGGGTCAGTCGGTGGGTCAGTGGATGGGTCAGTCGGTGGGTCAGTTGGTGGGTCAGTTGGTGGGTCAGTGGATGGGTCAGTGGATGGGTCAGTGGATGGGTCAGTGGATGGGTCAGTGGATGGGTCAGTTGGTGGGTCAGTTGGTGGGTCAGTTGGTGGGTCAGTTGGTGGGTCAGTGGATGGGTCAGTGGATGGGTCAGTGGATGGGTCAGTGGATGGGTCAGTGGATGGGTCAGTGGATGGGTCAGTGGATGGGTCAGTTGGTGGGTCAGTTGGTGGGTCAGTGGATGGGTCAGTGGATGGGTCAGTGGATGGGTCAGTGGATGGGTCAGTGGATGGGTCAGTTGGTGGGTCAGTTGGTGGGTCAGTTGGTGGGTCAGTCGGTGGGTCAGTGGATGGGTCAGTCGGTGGGTCAGTGGGTCAGTTGGTGGGTCAGTCGGTGGGTCAGTCGGTGGGTCAGTTGGTGGGTCAGTTGGTGGGTCAGTTGGTGGGTCAGTTGGTGGGTCAGTCGGTGGGTCAGTTGGTGGGTCAGTGGGTCAGTTGGTGGGTCAGTTGGTGGGTCAGTTGGTGGGTCAGTTGGTGGGTCAGTCGGTGGGTCAGTCAGTGGGTCGGTCAGTGGGTCGGTCAGTGGCTCGGTCAGTGGGTCGATCAGTGGGTCGGCCAGTGGGTCGGTCAGTGGGTCGGTCAGTGGATCGGTCAGTGGGTCGGTCAGTGGGTCGGTCAGTGGGTCAGTCAGTGGGTCAGTCAGTGGGTCATGGTGAGACTACAATAGATGGCTATATACTATAACCACTTACCGCATGGAGATCAAAGACCGGTCTGTGTTTCGACTCGACAGGGTCAAGGCCGTGCACGCGTGACCTGTAGTAGGGGTCAGCACCCAGGAAGTGGGGCAGGGAGATGTACACCGGGGCTGGGGATCGAAACCATCCGAGTCAGTGTTAGGACACTAAGTGCTGCAGTCTCCTATCTCCATGGATACACGCCACAACACGCAACTCAGGCACTAGACACTAACGTTCTAATTCAGACATCACACCACCCCCGTCACCCAGCGCCCCCCACCACCCCCCACACACAGAACACCGCCCCCCCAGCGCCCCACACACACACAGACTACCGCCCCCAGCGCCCCCACACACACACAGACCACCGCCCCCGCCCCCCACACCACCCAGCGCCCCCTACCTTCAAGACACCTGACGAGGCTGTACGCCCCAGAAGGGACACAATCGGGCGTGCAGTACCCGTTACCAACTAGCTCTGTGGCTGGGGTCACCGTGACCTGAGGCACCCTCAACACGCGGTAGTCGTTAGGGTCGAGCTTCAGATCCTCCGCCCACACCCTGGGGTCCCACGACAGCAGGGTGGGGCTGGCCTGTAGGGTGGAGCTGTTGGAGAACTCTGAGTCGGGGACGATAAAACGGAGGGTGTCCACGGACTTGTGGGAGCTCTTCTCCTGGTACTGCAGCTCGAAGCTTCTGGAAGAGTCACGTGACAACGGTTTTAGGTCAAGGTGACACGTAGTCATAAGGGTGTGTGCAAACATTATTAACATAATTCAAAACGAGACACACAGGAGACACAGAAGACGCACACGAGACACACACAGGAGACACACACATGTGACACATTAACGTACCTGAAGAGCTGTGGGAAGTAGAAGGATAGACGCGAGTCTTCACTCAAGAAAGGTTTGAACAGGTATCCGTCTGGCGGAGAAATAAATAGAAGGCGTTCAAGTTTGTTATTGATTGCCAGTATTTGCATTGTTTGGTTCTCCCTCACCCCCCTTCCCTCATCCCATCCAAACCCTAACCCTAATTTTCATTTTTTAAAAACATTTCCTCGTGAAAGTGTTGGGGAGGGGGGGGAATCAAAGACGTACTCACCCGTCCCACGGAAAGTGTTGGCTTCATCTGTGCTCCAAAACGGCAACTTTCTGCAGGAGAGATTCATAGAAGGGGAGATTACTGGCAACATTACACAACATGACAGAAGTGGAGATTACTTTCCCACATAAAATATAAAATAGGTGTGTAGTTATAAAGAATGTGTTACGGTGTTATAAAGTGTGTAGATGTGTAGCTATAGAATAGGTCTAAAAATAAAACTGACGTCATCCAGTCGACCGAGTAGATGTGGTTGAATTTGTTGAAGTCCAACTCTCCAGTGTACACGGTCCAGTCGAATCGTGAGGTCGTGTTGATCTGAAAGTACACACTACACATGTCGCACACAGCACACTACACATGTCGCACACAGCACACCACACATGTCGCACACAGCACACCACACTGTTGTATGACTTAACACAATTCAATTGTTGTAAGACATGACCCACCTCAATTGTTGTATTATAAGACCCACCTCAATTGTTGTATTATAAGACCCACCTCAATTGTTGTATTATAAGACCCACCTCAATTGTAGGATATGACCCACCTCAATTGTAGGACATGACCCACCTCAATTGTTGTATAATAAGACCCACCTCAACTGTTGTATTATAAGAACCACCTCAATTGTATTATAAGACCCACCTCAATTGTTGTATTATAAGAGCCATCAAACACGTGATCAACATCCAACTTTCTGATGACGCTCTCTGAAACAAAAACCAAGTCAGATCAAAACTCTTCCCAGCAGCTTTTTGTTCTTAGCCAATTCCTCATTACGCCACAAAGCCGCTTTTCACACAGTAGTAATACCCTGTCCATCCCTCGCCCCCACCTCCCAGCCATAAAGACTTCCAAGCCACAAAGACCCCCCCCCAGCCACAAAGACCCCCCCAGCCACAAAGACCCCCCCAGCCACAAAGACCCCCCCAGCCACAAAGACCCCCCCAGCCACAAAGACCCCCCCAGCCACAAAGACCCACCCCCCCAGCCACAAAGACCCACCCCCCCAGCCACAAAGACCCCCCCCCCAGCCACAAAGACCCCCCCCCCAGCCACAAAGACCCCCCCCAGCCACAAAGACCCCCCCCCAGCCACAAAGACCCCCCAGGCACAAAGACCCCCCCCCCAGGCACAAAGACCCCCCCCAGCCACAAAGACCCCCCCCCCAGCCACAAAGACCCCCCCCCCCAGCCACAAAGACCCCCCAGCCACAAAGACCCTCCCAGCCATAAAGACCTCCCAGCCTCAAGACCTCCCAGCCATAAAGACCTCCCAGCCATAAAGACCTCCCAGCCATAAAATCCTCCCAGCCATAAAGACCTCCCAGCCATAAAGACCTCCCAGCCATAAAGACCTCCCAGCCATAAAGACCTCCCAGCCTCAAGACCTCCCAGCCATAAAGACCCCCCCCCCCAGCCATAAAGACCCCCCCCCAGCCATAAAGACCTCCCAGCCACAAAGACCTCACCTAGCTTGTCCAGGACCTCGTTGGAGTCGAACCCCCGAAACAAACTCTTCACAGTTGACCTATAGACCAGCTTGCTGGCCGGTAGTGACGTCAGATTTTGTATGGCCTTGATGGACACGTTTAGAATGTCGGCAATAAACTGGAACAAACACGACACAAGTTATCCAATAAAGCGACATTTGGATTAAGTTATCCAATAAAGCGACATTTAGACTTAGATATCAATGACATTGGGCCACAGGTTGCTACAGAGGCTTTTTTAGGCAGCCTTTTTTTCTGAGAAACAGGCAGCCCAACTTTTATCCACACCCCCCCCCCCCACCACCCAGTATCACCAGCTACCCATCCCCCCCTACCCCCCCCCCCCTTTCGACTTACGAACAGCTGGGTGTTGGCAGAAGTGACCAGGTCAGTTTCAGGTCCCACAGAGAGGTCAAGGTCGATATCTGTGCTGTACACCAAGGTGAAGGACACGGAGCCGTTACTGTGCCAGGTCGTGTTGACCCTGCTGATCTTAAGTCTGAAGAAGGTACATATTGATATCTGGGGTCAATGACCTTGTACTCACTGATCATACACCACACTTACATGTACACACCACCAGACACCTTTACACCTGTACACCAGACACCTGTACACCAGACACCTGTACACCAGACACCTGTACACCAGACACCTGTACACCAGACACCTGTACACCAGACACCTGTACACCAGACACCTGTACACCAGACACCTGTACACCAGACACATGTACACCAGACACATGTACACCAGACACCTGTACACCAGACACCTGTACACCAGACACCTGTACACCAGACACCTGACACCTGTACACCAGACACCTGTACACCAGACACCTGTACACCAGACACCTGTACACCAGACACCTGTACACCAGACACCTGTACACCAGACACCTGTACACCAGACACCTGTACACCAGACACCTGTACAACAGACACCTGTACAACAGACACCTGTACAACAGACAAATGTACATACACCACACTTACATGTATACACACCAGACACCCACCACACACCTGTACCCACCACCAGACGTACCTGTAGACGTATGGACCACCAGACACCTGTACCCACCGCCAGACGTACCTGTAAACGTATGGACCAATCTCCTTCACCACTGGTCTGGCACCATGCTCAAACTCCTCGGGGTTGGTCACGTTGAAGGCGTACACGTTCATGAAGGCCTGCCCTGATGGGTGGAGCCATTCCTTACTTCCGTTTGCTCGCAAAATTGTTTTCTGAGGGGAAACATTTCTCTTAATAAATCAACATCTAATACCAGCAAGGCGAATGTTACACCTACAGCCACACAATCCCACCTACAGCCACACAATCCCACCTACAGCCACACAATCCCACCTACAGCCACACAAGCCCACCTACAGCCACACAAGCCCACCTACAGCCACACAAGCCCACCTACAACCACACAAGCCCACCTACAACCACACAAGCCCACCTACAGCCACACAAGCCCACCTACAGCCACACAAGCCCACCTACAACCACACAAGCCCACCTACAACCACACAAGCCCACCTACAGCCACAATCCCACCTACAGCCACACAAGCCCACCTACAACCACACAAGCCCACCTACAGTCACACAAGCCCACCTACAGCCACACAAGCCCACCTACAGCCACACAAGCCCACCTACAACCACACAAGCCCACCTACAACCACACAAGCCCACCTACAGCCACACAATCCCGCCTACAGCCACACAATCCCACATACAGCCACACAATCCCACCTACAGCCACACAAGCCCACCTACAGCCACACAAGCCCACCTACAGCCACACAAGCCCACCTACAACCACACAAGCCCACCTACAACCACACAAGCCCACCTACAGCCACACAATCCCGCCTACAGCCACACAATCCCACCTACAGCCACACAAGCCCACCTACAGCCACAATCCCACCTACAGCCACACAAGCCCACCTACAGCCACACAAGCCCACCTACAGCCACACAAGCCCACCTACAGCCACACAAGCCCACCTACAGCCACACAAGCCCACCTACAGCCACACAAGCCCACCTACAGCCACAATCCCACCTACAGCCACACAAGCCCACCTACAACCACACAAGCCCACCTACAGTCACACAAGCCCACCTACAGCCACACAATCCCACCTACAGCCACACAATCCCACCTACAGCCACACAATCCCACCTACAGCCACACAATCCCACCTACAGCCACACAAGCCCACCTGCCCGTGTCTTACCTCCTTGACGTTAGCTTGCATTCTGGGTAGAATAATTTTGTATGCAATGATAATGTAGGTCAGTAGAACGAGAGCGGTCAAGGTCACCAATGCTAGACACCTGGAGCTCTGGAGGACGTCCAGAACTTTGGCCAGTATCGATCCTTGACTGAAAGAAAAGACCAGAAATACATCAATAGCTGGACATTTCCATAAAACAGCTGACGAGACTAGACATAGGTCCCCAAAGACGAGACTGGACAAGGGTTCCCAAAGACAAGACTGGACAAGGGTTCCCAAAGACAAGACTGGACAAGGGTTCCCAAAGACAAGACTGGACAAGGGTTCCCAAAGACAAGACTGGACAAGGGTTCCCAAAGACAAGACTGGACAAGGGTTCCCAAAGACAAGACTGGACAAGGGTTCCCAAAGACAAGACTGGACAAGGGTTCCCAAAGACAAGACTGGACAAGGGTTCCCAAAGACAAGACTGGACAAGGGTTCCCAAAGACAAGACTGGACAAGGGTTCCCAAAGACAAGACTGGACAAGGGTTCCCAAAGACAAGACTGGACAAGGGTTCCCAAAGACAAGACTGGACAAGGGTTCCCAAAGACAAGACTGGACAAGGGTTCCCAAAGACAAGACTGGACAAGGGTTCCCAAAGACAAGACTGGACAAGGGTTCCCAAAGACAAGACTGGACAAGGGTTCCCAAAGACAAGACTGGACAAGGGTTCCCAAAGACAAGACTGGACAAGGGTTCCCAAAGACAAGACTGGACAAGGGTCCCCAAAGACAAGACTGGACAAGGGTCCCCAAAGACAAGACTGGACAAGGGTCCCCAAAGGCAAGACTGGACAAAGGTCCCCAAAGGCAAGACTGGACAAAGGTCCCCAAAGGCAAGACTGGACAAAGGTCCCCAAAGGCAAGACTGGACAAGGGTTCGACTCACTCTTCCACGCATCGCCGCCTCCGTCTGGCCCTCTCCTCAGAGAAAGCGGACGCCTGCAGGCCGCGTTCAGTGGTCAGCAGGGCCAGCGTGTCCCTGTTGTAGCCGTCTGGTGACCCCATTTCCGGCGTGGCGGGCTCGGCGCTGCTGACCTCCTCGATCTGCTGCTCGCGGACGATGATTGTGTCCCCTTGCGCTGATGAGCCGTAGGTGATCCGACCAATGGGCTTGCCGGAAGGGCTGACCTCAATCACAGTGATGGTCTCTGGGTCGGACTCGTCAGCTGGTGCAAAGGACAGTTAAAACACGGGGCAAATGGCAGTTATAACACGGGGCAAAGGGCAGTTATAACACGGGGCAAAGGGCAGTTATAACACGGGGCAAAGGGCAGCTATAACACGGGGCAAAGGGCAGTTATAACGTGGGGCAAGAGATGGTTAAAAGCACAGTCCCATGTCAACACTCACCATCAGATGTGCGGTTGCTGCTTAGTCCGTTCTTTGCTCCACCTACTCCACCCACTCCACCAGCTCCATTGGCTAGTGTGCCGTTGCTGCCCAGTCCGTTTCTGCCTCCACTTGCTCCACCGGATCCACCATCCCCCGCAGTGGCGCCACCACTTTCAGCGTCTTGGTAGCTGAGAGTCTCGTTGTCTGACATGGTCCTGGGGAAAACACAACATTAACATGGTCCTGGGGAAAACACAACATTAACATGGTCCTGGGGAAAACACAACATTAACATGGTCCTGGGGAAAACAACATTAACATGGTCCTGGGGAAAACACAACATTAACATGGTCCTGGGGAAAACACAACATTAACATGTGGGCTGTAGTGTCTAGTGGGGTGTAGTGTCTGACATGGTCCTGGGGAAAACACAACATTAACATGGTCCTGGGGAAAACACAACATTAACATGGTCCTGGGGAAAACACAACATTAACATGGTCCTGGGGAAAACACAACATTAACATGGTCCTGGGGAAAACACAACATTAACATGGTCCTGGGGAAAACACAACATTAACATGTGGGCTGTAGTGTCTAGTGGGGTGTAGTGTCTGACATGGTCCTGGGGAAAACACAACATTAACATGGTCCTGGGGAAAACACAACATTAACATGGTCCTGGGGAAAACACAACATTAACATGGTCCTGAGGGAAACACAACATTAACATGGTCCTGAGGGAAACAACATTAACATGGTCCTGGGGAAAACACAACATTAACATGGTCCTGGGGGAAACACAACATTAACATGGTCCTGGGGAAAACACAACATTAACATGGTCCTGGGGAAAACACAACATTAACATGGTCCTGGGGAAACACAACATTAACATGGTCCTGGAGAAAACACAACATTAACATGTGGGCTGTAGTGTCTAGTGGGGTGTAGTGTCTGACATGGTCCTGGGGAAAACAACATTAACATGGTCCTGGGGAAAACACAACATTAACATGGTCCTGGGGGAAACACAACATTAACATGGTCCTGGGGGAAACACAACATTAACATGTGGGCTGTAGTGTCTGACATGGTACTGGGGAAAACAACATTAACATGGTCCTGGGGAAAACACAACATTAACATGGTCCTGGGGGAAACACAACATTAACATGGTCCTGGGGAAAACACAACATTTACATGGTCCTGGGGAAAACACAACATTTACATGGTCCTGGGGAAAACACAACATGAACATGGTCCTGGGGAAAACACAACATTAACATGGTCCTGGGGAAAACACAACATTAACATGGTCCTGGGGAAAACACAACATGAACATGGTCCTGGGGAAAACACAACATGAACATGGTCCTGGGGAAAACACAACATGAACATGGTCCTGGGGAAAACACAACATTAACATGGTCCTGGGGAAAACACAACATTAACATGGTCCTGGGGAAAACACAACATTAACATGGTCCTGAGGGAAACACAACATTAACATGGTCCTGAGGGAAACACAACATTAACATGGTCCTGGGGAAAACACAACATTAACATGTGGGCTGTAGTGTCTAGTGGGGTGTAGTGTCTGACATGGTCCTGGGGAAACAACATTAACATGGTCCTGGGGAAAACACAACATTTACATGGTCCTGGGGAAAACACAACATTTACATGGTCCTGGGGAAAACACAACATTAACATGGTCCTGGGGAAAACACAACATTAACATGGTCCTGGGGAAAACACAACATTAACATGGTCCTGGGGAAAACAACATTAACATGGTCCTGGGGAAAACACAACATTAACATGGTCCTGGGGAAAACACAACATTAACATGGTCCTGGGGAAAACACAACATTAACATGGTCCTGGGGAAAACACAACATTAACATGTGGGCTGTAGTGTCTGACATGGTCCTGGGGAAAACACAACATTAACATGGTCCTGGGGAAAACACAACATTTACATGGTCCTTGGGAAAACACAACATTAACATGTGGGCTGTAGGGTCTGACGTGGTCCTGGGGAAAACACAACATTAACATGGTCCTGGGGAAAACAACATTAACATGTGGGCTGTAGTGTCTGACATTGTCCTGGGGAAAACAACATTAACATGGTCCTGGGGAAAACACAACATTAACATGTGGGCTGTAATGTCTGACATTGTCCTGGGGAAAACAACATTAACATGGTCCTGGGGAAAACACAACATTAACATGGTCCTGGAAGAAACACAACATTAACATGGTCCTGTGGAAAACACAACATTAACATGGTCCTGTGGAAAACACAACATGAACATGGTCCTGGGGAAAACACAACATGAACATGGTCCTGGGGAAAACAACATTAACATGGTCCTGGGGAAAACACAACATTTACATGGTCCTGGGGAAAACACAACATTTACATGGTCCTGGGGAAAACACAACATTAACATGGTCCTGGGGAAAACAACATTAACATGGTCCTGGGGAAAACACAACATTTACATGGTCCTGGGGAAAACACAACATTTACATGGTCCTGGGGAAAACACAACATTTACATGGTCCTGGGGAAAACACAACATTAACATGGTCCTTGGGAAAACACAACATTAACATGGTCCTGGGGAAAACACAACATTTACATGGTCCTGGGGAAAACACAACATTTACATGGTCCTGGGGAAAACACAACATTAACATGGTCCTGGGGAAAACACAACATTAACATGTGGGCTGTAGTGTCTGACATGGTCCTGGGGAAACAATATTAACATGGTCCTGGGGAAAACACAACATTAACATGGTCCTGGGGAAAACACAACATTAACATGGTCCTGAGGGAAACACAACATTAACATGGTCCTGAGGGAAACACAACATTAACATGGTCCTGGGGAAAACACAACATTAACATGTGGGCTGTAGTGTCTAGTGGGGTGTAGTGTCTGACATGGTCCTGGGGAAACAACATTAACATGGTCCTGGGGAAAACACAACATTTACATGGTCCTGGGGAAAACACAACATTTACATGGTCCTGGGGAAAACACAACATTAACATGGTCCTGGGGAAAACACAACATTAACATGGTCCTGGGGAAAACACAACATTAACATGGTCCTGGGGAAAACAACATTAACATGGTCCTGGGGAAAACACAACATTAACATGGTCCTGGGGAAAACACAACATTAACATGGTCCTGGGGAAAACACAACATTAACATGGTCCTGGGGAAAACACAACATTAACATGTGGGCTGTAGTGTCTGACATGGTCCTGGGGAAAACACAACATTAACATGGTCCTGGGGAAAACACAACATTTACATGGTCCTTGGGAAAACACAACATTAACATGTGGGCTGTAGGGTCTGACGTGGTCCTGGGGAAAACACAACATTAACATGGTCCTGGGGAAAACAACATTAACATGTGGGCTGTAGTGTCTGACATTGTCCTGGGGAAAACAACATTAACATGGTCCTGGGGAAAACACAACATTAACATGTGGGCTGTAATGTCTGACATTGTCCTGGGGAAAACAACATTAACATGGTCCTGGGGAAAACACAACATTAACATGGTCCTGGAAGAAACACAACATTAACATGGTCCTGTGGAAAACACAACATTAACATGGTCCTGTGGAAAACACAACATGAACATGGTCCTGGGGAAAACACAACATGAACATGGTCCTGGGGAAAACACAACATTAACATGGTCCTGGGGAAAACACAACATTAACATGGTCCTGGGGAAAACACAACATTTACATGGTCCTGGGGAAAACACAACATTTACATGGTCCTGGGGAAAACACAACATTAACATGGTCCTGGGGAAAACAACATTAACATGGTCCTGGGGAAAACACAACATTTACATGGTCCTGGGGAAAACACAACATTTACATGGTCCTGGGGAAAACACAACATTAACATGGTCCTTGGGAAAACACAACATTAACATGGTCCTGGGGAAAACACAACATTTACATGGTCCTGGGGAAAACACAACATTTACATGGTCCTGGGGAAAACACAACATTAACATGGTCCTGGGGAAAACAACATTAACATGTGGGCTGTAGTGTCTGACGTGGTCCTGGGGAAAACACAACATTAACATGGTCCTGGGGAAAACACAACATTAACATGTGGGCTGTAGTGTCTAATACAGTGGGCTGTAGTGTCTAATACAGTGGGCTGTAGTGTCTAATACAGTGGGCTGTAGTGTCTAATACAATGGGCTGTAGTGTCTAATACAGTGGGCTGTAGTGTCTAATACAGTGGGCTGTAGTGTCTAATACAATGGGCTGTAGTGTCTAATACAGTGGGCTGTAGTGTCTAATACAGTGGGCTGTAGTGTCTAATACAGTGGGCTGTAGTGTCTAATACAGTGGGCTGTAGTGTCTAATACAATGGGCTGTAGTGTCTAATACAGTGGGCTGTAGTGTCTAATACAGTGGGCTGTAGTGTCTAATACAGTGGGCTGTAGTGTCTAATACAGTGGGCTGTAGTGTCTAATACAGTGGGCTGTAGTGTCTAATACAGTGGGCTGAGTGTCTAATACAGTGGGCTGTAGTGTCTAATACAGTGGGCTGTAGTGTCTAATACAGTGGACTGTAGTGTCTAATACAGTGGGCTGTAGTGTCTAATACAGTGGACTGTAGTGTCTAATACAGTGGGCTGTAGTGTCTAATACAGTGGGCTGTAGTGTCTAATACAGTGGGCTGTAGTGTCTAATACAGTGGGCTGTAGTGTCTAATACAGTGGGCTGTAGTGTCTAATACAGTGGGCTGTAGTGTCTAATACAGTGGGCTGTAGTGTCTAATACAGTGGGCTGTAGTGTCTAATACAGTGGGCTGTAGTGTCTAATACAGTGGGCTGTAGTGTCTAATACAGTGGGCTGTAGTGTCTGATACAGCAGACCAACTTTGCAATAGAGTTCATGAGGGGGGTGTAAATCGTACAAGGTACAGTTGACCAATGACTAAGTATAAATCGTACAAGGTACAGTTGACCAATGACTAAGTATAGCATGGTCTGACCGTATACATATCACAAGGGCTTAGTGAAGGGCAATGTAAACAAGATTCAAGTGGCCGCGTGTGGTCAAGCTTGTGACGTCAGAAGAGTACGCTGACCTGATTGCAACATAAACACATGTACACTTCTCCCAGTGATCTTTCGCTAGGGGTCAGTTCGTGGGTACCCGGCCGGCGATCAGAACACGGCTATCTGTCAATTCTACTGTCATGAAAAACCGAATTCGAACTCTAGATTTTCTGGCTAGCTAGGCCTATCCCCCCCCCCTCCCCACCCATCACGGTTCATTGTAGGCTAGTCTATTGTAGGCTGGCTGGTCCATTAGAGGCTACTTTAAAATGGTTGAAAATTTGACAAATTTAATCTGTAATTACTAATTACACCAACACCTAATCAAACTAACAAACATGGTCAAAGTTTGTGTTGAATTACAAGTTAAGTTTAATAACAACAAAACCACATGTATCTCCTGTATGAAATGAATCGATTATTTGGTCATATAATATGACCACATACCAAGTGAATTCCACACTTACTTTATTCCCAGTTGAATTCGACTGATCTTCTTGAGAAGTCAAATTGTGCCTACACGGTATTCAATGTGTGTTTGTTTACAAAGTCCAGCGCTTTGATTGGCTGGGTCCTGAGACAGTGTTGTAGTTTGTAACCATTGTTCATGGCTCCCACGATCTTGTACTCGCTGGCAACCCTTGACCCCCCGGGGTGTTCAGAACATCTTAGTTCGGCATTCAATCGAATTTTTAAAAAAACTTTCCAGATGAGCAATATGTATGTACACCAGATGAGCAATATGTGTGGACACCAGATGAGCAATATGTATGGACATCAGATGAGCAATATGTATGTACACCAGATGAGCAATATGTATGGAAACCAGATGAGCAATATGTATAATATGTACGGACACCAGATGGACTCGTGTATGCTATCGAGGTGTAAAACTCTGCATGTGTAATTGTGTGTGCGCTAAGTATAGTAAGACATGAACCCACACATTTCCAATCTTTTTAATACAATATATTATAGAGAAGCACCTTGTTTTTTTTTTATTATATAAACAGTAATCCATTATATTTAAAGAAAACATAAATAAATACATTTAGTGCATTAATAAAAAAAAATTTAAAAATTAAAAAACGTTAATAAACTTATCTTTCAACTGAATATAAGCATTTTTTTTTTTTGTACATTTTCAACACATTTTTATTGCTTGTTGGAAAAATTAAATAGATTTATCGGCCAAATGAACCCTGCGGGTTTTTCTTTGCAAGGGAAAAAACTCAATTAATAGTTTCGACAAAACTAACCTTGCTTGATTATGTCCCCTTACAATAGATTTAGTTTTCTCCGGCTAATAAGCGTGATATTTTAGAGCAGGGAGGATAAAATTTCACCGTGCTAAAAATGTTTTTAAAACTCAACTCACTTGGCAAAGTAATTTTTAGAGATTCTGTCCAATTTTTCCTTAGAGTCAATCCCCACTCCTCTTGATGATGTCACCCTGTCCGCGCCCCCTCCCTTGTTAAACTTCTGCATGATGTAATTGATACATAGTTCTAATGGATTACATGTGATCGGATAGACCTATGGAGGTGCTCTCATTCATCACTCATACCCCAGAGTCAACGTGAGTTATCTTTACAATACTTTAACTAAAGGGCTGCTACTGTTATTTTATTTATCCGCATTTTATTTCAGCATTACCTCCCTTGCAGTTTTCTTGCTGAGATGATACTCGCTTTTGTTCTGCTGGCTCAGCGCAAATTAGCGCGCTCGTTTTAACAAGGGGGGAAACCGTAGTGCTTGTATCGGCTCATTTACTTACAGCAGTCGTAATGGCGTAACGCTTTCTCTCTTGTTTAAGTGCTTACATATAGGACACATAACCACTCCAACTCCACCCTTCTCCACCGAAGGACATATAGCCGCCTACAACAAACTGTTACAAATTGTGTTCTTAAAGTCCTCTTAATTGTATTTACCACTATGCCGGCTTGTTGTGCAGACTCGCCGGCGTTTGTCATTAGGCTACACATTCAGAGATTGGTAGCCTATTTCTAGTACTACTATTAATTAGAAATTTTAATATTTGCCACTATTACAGAAACTTTAACTTGGTTTAGTTTGTAGTGTTTTACTACGTTACTCTGACGCGCAAAAACCTGCAACATTGTCTGTTCAAAGGTCATTGGTCGGTTTCAGAGGTCTTTGGTCAGTTCAGAGGTCATTGGTCATTGATCTTTTGAAAGAATGGAAACTCAAAACTACACTGTTCGATTTTTTAAAATAGTATCATTGATACCCTGGTTACAAATTTAATCTTTTACATTTATCCGATTTAACTAAATTACAGTGAACATACACATTGGCTGACTTGTTTTACAAACTCAGAAAGAAAAACAGAGGTCCGCTAAAGGATCAACCTACAAGCGCCACGCAAAAAGTCCTTACTGAATAACTTTAGGGTTTTAAAGTAGTCCTAGTTGTTCTACTTAATTTTTGTGGTCGTTCAGATAAGAGTTTGTTTTGTTGTAATTTTTTAAAACGCTAAACCAACTTTAGATTTTAGATAATAATAGATAATTATATTATTTTAGTGATACCCGTTTATTGGGTAGATTTTAAAGTATAACCCCATTAACATAATTTATATATAGCCTACAGAATATTTGGTCGAAGAGTCGATCAAAATAACTGCCGCGACTTCGCTTTCAAATTCTTAATAAAGTTAGTTATCAAATCTACCCGTGTTGTTTGTTTTTAAAAGTTGCCGACGGGCCGTCCTTAAAATAAACTCCTCCCATAGGTATTGGCCCCACCTCTTTTGCTCCGCCCCGCGCCGCAATCAGCTGACGATATAGGGGAATCCCCTTCCGTATAAGCCTACCTATGTGGCACCATATGATGTATGTTGATAACACATCATCAGAGTTGATGAAAGATCGATATGCAAATTTATGCAAATTTTATGCAAATTAGGATCTTGATATATTATGTTAATTCTGGATCAAAACGAGGCTATCACGTGACCAGTGTATTTTTATGCGACGCCATGTTCGGCATTTCTGGTGGGAAACACTTTATTTCACAGTGAGTTAAGGTACTCATATATTTCTCTGCTGATTGATTAATCGTTACACAGGATATCGTTGAGTAGGTCGTGCTGTGTTCCTATTTTCAGGTTTGTTTACAACTCATACGCACGAGTCTGTTTCATCCTGCCTTTTCTATATTGAAATTTTCGCGGAAAGATAAACTCATGACAACTGTGACCGCGATACATAGACCTTGTTGCTAAAAATAGAAAAGCTTATGATAGAAAATGCCCGATTAGTACCAACGAATTGGCGCTCAGTACTCCTAGCGGTCCAGAAACTAGATATCTTAATCTTTATTACGCTTTTTAAATAATGGGTTTCGTCTATTGTATTTAGAATCTGCTTTGTTTTTCAATATTTGCACTCCATCCTTGTTATGGCGGTCTTTGTTCATTTCAACATCACCACCCATGCTTGCCTGCAAAATTTCCCTCATCCGTCACTGGAACATCGCCTCTTCTTTTCCTTTTGCTAGACCACTGGACTGGCTCTAACAAAAATTATAAGATAATGCCACAGGTAGAGATCAGAATTCTATAGACCAACCCAAGTATAGTATAGATAATAGTTTAGTCTAGGGGTAGGCCCTGGCCCTACTAGGCACTACTAACTAGATTCTATTAATTAAGTATTAGATCTACTTTTAGAGTTTTAGACTCTAGTTATTCCTATTCTGCAGAATCTTCTAGATCTAGTGTCTAGAAATCAAGAATAGTAGTTTTATTCATTCTCAATAATAGGGCCTAACAGTAACTGGGGGTAACTAAGCCTAGATCTAAAAAAAACTAATCTAGATCTCTAGTATTATTATATAGGCCAAGGTCTAGATCTATAGAGCTAGATTGATCTGGAGAGTATTCTAGATCTAAGCCCTATAATTTAAAATATAGATCAAGACTCTGAGCATAATGAAAATCTTTTTAAAAACTTAGTCTTAGAGTTTCTTCCAGGCATCTCTGGGAGGGGGGGAGGGGAGTTTAGGGCCTATTCATAACACTCTCGCCTTTTTGTTTCAGATAGAAGCCATGTCTCATCATTAAAGTTATTTGAGATTAAAGCCAACTGAGTTTGATTATGACGGTGAGTTGAACTGAAGATACTGAGATATAGGCCTACCTACTGTATCTATAATCTCGTGTATACACACACATTTCTGGTCTTGCATAGTTGATTCGATCAAGCAGAGTGCATATGTTCTATTTATACTGATTATTAACTTGTACTTTTATTTTTATAGCCTACATGTTTCTTTTGTGTGTTTTGGTATTTATTTATTTTCCAAGATTATTTCTTTGTAAAGTTAACACAATCATTTATTTTTTTACAGTCCATTTCAAGAAGTGGTTCTTCACGAAGGTTAGTTAATATTTGAATCACAGTTCTAGTAAATAAAGTTTTTAATTTTATATCAAAACTACTTAGCAACAAACATCTCCTGATTGGATTCATTGCCTTCAGCATGACACTGCAGGTCTAAAGATTATAATGTGATCTACCTCATTATACAGCCACAAGCATAAATTTCTATCTTACGTTTTTTCATATGCCAAACTAAATATAGTTGGAACCTCTGCTCTGCTACTGTTTCATGAGTTCCACTATGCCATCTTACCACCACTGTAGACCAACATCATAGTCTAATGGTAGAATGTGCTCCTCCTAATTAGAACATGATTTGTGTTATAAGACCATTCGCCAAACAGCCCTTCATGTTCAAACTAAATGGTGTGATGTACTGGGTGAGTGAAACCCACTGGTCTAGCTGCTGGTAACATGGGTGAGAGAAGTGGTCACTTCGTTGCGCCTTTCCTCTCTGCCAGGCTAGTGAGAATTGCTTGAGCCAGCATCTGTTTATGAGACAGACCTGCACTAGCTGTTTCAGGGTTTAAACACATAAACTCAAATAAAAATGTTTAAACCATTAAAAAATAAAGTAAATTTTTTCTTTCTGTGAATTCCAATTAAAAGATATATTGAGAATATTAAATCAGTCACTAAAATATGTCTGACAATTGTACCTGAATTATGCCCTGTGTAGGAAGCCTGAAGCCCCGGGTAGAATTCGTCTTCAGCTGAAAGGGAAAAGCTCAAAAATCCTGCACAGTGATGAGGAAGATGATAACAGCGATGAGGAGGGACCTGTTGCAGCGGATAGCATCCCTGATGACTTGCCTGAAGGTTAGTTTTTGTTGCATTGTCTTGTGTTCAGTTACATTAGCTAGGCCAATGCAAAAATTTAATTTCAGTAAAACAATATAATAGTTACATATTTGGATAGGGGCTGTCAATCTGATTACAGATCAGTTTGAATTTTCAAAATCTGACCATAAACAAAAAAGTTATGAATTTTTTAGTCATTAAAAAACAGCAGTTTTTTCAGACAACCGGGGTAGACCCTGAAAGAGGAAAAATACTGGGAGGGTATGGACCAAATTTTTAAGTGTTTTTCACTAAAAGTGGTATAAAAGCCAGAATACTTTATCAATTGATGTAATTTTAAGATATTTTATAGATTTTTGTATGCTGAATCCAATGATGCTATTTTAAAAAGTGTCCTTCGATTACTCAACCTACTAATCTCATAGATTATGTAATACCCCCCTTTCAATTTTTTTTAAACATCTAATAATCAATGTGATAAGAAGTCATTCTTTAAATGTAACGCTGTTTTAATCTAAAATATGACATTTATATATGCTCAAGCTAATGGTAGATTTAAAATGGTCCAACATTGCTACATAACTATCAAATGTTAAGGTTATGTAATCCCACCCTTTGCTCAAAATATACCATGAATTTGTTTTAAAATCACTTTTGCTCATTGTCAGTTAACTTCAAGTTAATAGCCTATTAGAAGAAAATATAACTAATCAAGTTTTTCAATACAAAGAGAAGAATGCTATAGTAAATTTGTGATTATGTAACTTCTTAAAAGATGTTATGTAATCTATGTGCAATACTCTAGGCCTACTCTGTTCCAAAAATAAAGGCCTATCTCATTATAATTATATTTCTTGTTATTTTAAATATCTTAATCCTTTTTGCTATAGAATTAGTCTAGTTACAAATGTGTCTGATTAGAATCAGAGTGTGCTTTATGGTAATTACGTAATATTACCCATATTAAAGTTAATCATTTTTACAATGTCAATAAAATAAACTTTGGAGGAAAATATTTTTTTTAAAAACTTGCACAAGGTATAGTTAAGTAATAGATATATAACATAAATTTATATTTATGCCCAATGTTTATGCTAGTAGTAAGTAGGTTTATGTATTTTGTAAGCCTACCAGTAGGCCTTTTACAATTAAAAACTTTCTTAAGAAAAAAGCACGTGTTTGAGTGCTTGACTGTGTAGATCTAGTAGATTCTAGAAATTGTGTAAGATTACCGTGTTTGGCTATACACAGACACGTGTACCACCACCAGCTTTTGCCTAGATTTAGTTCAATCAGACATGTGGGTAACCAGGTCTTCTGACCAATGAATTTTATTGCCCTATTACGTAAACACCACCGCTGGATAGGCTAGTCGGCTAACCCGATGAACGTGTCAGATGAATATTATGTAATCTCAGAGACAAAAGTCTGGCAAGATTTCCTGATCTATGCCCGAGGATTAGTAACATCAACTCCACAAAGTGAAGGGGGAGGGAGGTGGGGTATGAAACCACCGTGTACCGTACGAGTGTTATACAACATCAAAAGCGATGCTCGTCGGCTTGTCGCGTCACGGACTAGTGGGGGCGGGGTGAGACTATGGGTGTTACATACGGTGTAGGATGGTCAGTGGCTACCCCCATCCACCCCACCCCATTTTGGTCGATTTGATAAGCTAGTAACTCCCACGTTGTTAGTGGTATTAAAATTTGTAGAAAAGAGCCCCGGATATAATTTAATTTATTTTTTAAAGCCATTTTTACTAAAAAGTAATGTACACAATAATGAAACGTTACACGAATCACATCACAGCATTGTTTGATCGGGCCGAAGCTATTCGGATTAATTTTGCCGATTAGTCCTCAGCCGTAAATACTAACAAAACTTTTGTTTGACGTTTCAATGGGTTAAGACAAAGTTATGCAACATGTCTGTGTGCTTATAAATATAAAGTAGCAATAGCCGTCGAGTCAAACACCGGAACACATGTATCTATCTTTAGACATTGTTTATAGTATCATCCAATCGGATCAAGCGCCTAGCGTCACGTGACCACACACTCAACTGTGCTACACGATGTGTAGATCACCAATCAGTCGGGCGGCGGCCGACGCGTTAATTTTTTATTTTCGTTCGGTTTTAAAATGTATGGACGGCTTTATTACGAGGTGCTATAATACATGTCATACATTAAAATAAACGGCGGGATTTCGGGAATACAGCTCAGGGTTCAAATGCAAAATATGTCCAATAATAGACCGGGAAACTTGGTTCAACTTTGCGGTCCGATATCTCCAAAAGTATTTAACTTATTTTGACCACGAACCCTGAGCGTTATACGTGTACATTTAATGTATTCGTCTGCCAAATTTGACTATTGTAGTACGTAAACTCGATACGTGTATACAAATTTTGTAACGCGTCATCAGGTTAAAAACGGCGATTCGAAGCACAGCAGGGCGGTTCAGTCAGACAGCGGTCGGCGCGTCGTGTTCATATTTTCGGTCCACTTCAAAGTCTATAGACGTCCTTATTATAGGGCCTTATAGGACATATCATACATATTAATAAACGTCGAGATTTCAGGAATACAGCTCAGGGTTCAAATAAAAAATCGATCCATAAATAGCTCAAATAACTTAGTTTAACTTTGCGGTCTGATATCTCCGAAAGTATTACACATATTTTAACCAAGAACCCTGAGCGTTATACGTGTACATTTAATCTATTCTTCTACCAAGTTTCATAGTTGTAGTACGAAAACTCACAGAGTCTATAGACTCCAAGTAACACCCCCCTTTTAAAAAGGTGAAAAAGCCTCCCCCCTAATCGGCACGTCGCCGCGGGGGGTAAAAAATGCGATTAAATCGGCGATTTCTTCAACGTCTGAAATAATACAGAAATCAAACTAATACAGTTAAAAAGGTTATTCAATTACGAACAGAATGATGTATAACATGTTAATATAAACACAATAAAAGCATGCAAAAAACAGAGTTAAACATGCAGGGGGTAGGGAAAAGCCGATTTGTCCGATTTTCTCGGCAGCGGCATTGGCCTAGCTAGTTACATGCCTCTTTAGTAACAACACCTCTCCCTCCCTTCAAATCTTAAGACTGGCGGAAGTCTTTATTTATGATGTGAATAATTTTTATCGCCAACAGATAATTTCCCCATTAAATGTAAATTCGCTGGGGTTTTTTTTTCAAAATCAAAGGTTCCAGTCAAAAAGATAGTAAACTATAGCAAGCATAGTTTATAAATTATCTTGAGGCAACAAACAACTATTACATTCTGATATATTTTTTCGTATATCTTAACAGTCAAATTATTATTCTTTGATTCCTTTTTACTTTCACGTATACGAAGTATAGAGGAAGTATTGTAATCGTGCAAAAAAAATGAAATCCATATTTTCACAATATTGATATTTTACACCTCCCAATGTCAAAAAAACTTAGTTTTACAATTTTGTGTGAGTGTGTGTATTGTCTTTGAACACGATAACTACAAAACGAGTTCCATATTATTTCTTTAGCAGAGGTAGAAGACACCTAATACTTAGGGCTTAATTTGAATACTTTCCTTGGTTGTCATTATTTCACTCAAAGAAAAGTTGGGCTTTTATACATTGCAAGGAAGATATATGGTTAAAACTGTAATTTTGTTCTTGTTATAGTGCTATCAGCTGTTTTTATCTGACCACCTACAGGTACAGTCATAGTCCAACCTCAAGCTGTTGATGATGCTCCGTTAAAAAAGAAACGTGACCGTAAGTTACAGCTGTTACAGACATCAATTTGGCACAAACTAGTTTCACCTTTTTTTCTATTTTCTTCTAGTAACATTATTTCAGCTTTTGTTACATTAATTCACGAACTGTCGTAATGGCAGATCATTGGCCAATATTCTACTTTCTGTGGTGTTATGGCCGACCAAATCAACTGGTATTACAAAATTGAAAATTTTCATTGAAAATGCTAATAAATAAATGTACTTTGGTTAAGGGAAAATAGTTATTTTAGAAAGTGAATTTCCTTCCTGTTTCCAGAATGGGGCAATTTTCTATGAGTACATGAGCTTTGATTTTTGTTAAACACAGATATTGTTTAGTCAAATTTTACTTGTCCTGTAAATGTCTAGGTCAATTTCAACCTATTGTGTGTACCAAAAGATTCTTTGTCCAATGTACTTTTAGTAAATATATACTTGTAAGGGTCTCTGCTTTCATTCTGTATATAATTTAGACATTTTTAACTGGCATGGAAAACGTTAAAATGGCTTGATGCTGCAGAACAACTGCAGTTCGAAGGTTAAACTAATTGTAATATTACATAGTTTCTAATATATTTGTTGCTTCTGTGCCATCTGTAAATTGTTGTATTACTAAATTTCTCATATTAGAGTTCCTGAATGTAATTTTTGTTTCATATTACTTTAGCTCCAGTACGTATTGATACATCTATACTTGACAACGTAAGCTGCACAGCATGTGGACGCCAGTTAAACCCATATAAAAACAGTGCCCTTCAAAAACATCCAGAGCTTAAAGTTGTCATCTGTAAGGTACGTAGATTTAAACATGCAGAATCTACATCATTTAATGACTAGAAAATTCCAGAATCTAATGTCTGTGTTTTGTTCACCTGATTTAGCGCTGTGATAAGTTTCTGTCCAGTGGAGAAATAGCAAAGGACAAAGATGGAACAGATGAGCAGTGTAGGTGGTGCGGAGAAGGGGGGAGGCTGGTCGTCTGTGACGAGTGTGCCAGTGCATTTTGTAGGGCTTGTGTCATGCGGAATTTCAACAGATCTGAGTTCACCAATATTAGTAAGTAACACTTGTGCCTTGTTTAGTCGTTGTGATTCAAAATTTTATCAAGTGTCCAACATCCAGTTGGCTAACCAGTGGTTATCAGACTAGTTTAGTGACCCTTTGAACCTTGGTATATGAATGAATAGTCTGGTCAGCTCTATGCCCAGCCACTTTCATTTTAAGACTTATCAAAGATAATCACAGCTTTAACAGTCCAAATGTTTCTAATTTTGCAGACAGTCAGCCGAACTGGAAGTGTTATATCTGTGACAAGGCCCCACTCCAAAGCTTGAGGGAGAAGTACAGGAAGATCCGGGACACCTTGAAAGCTCTCCAAGCCAGGGACAAAGCTAAGGCTGCTGCCCCCACCAGCAACGGTACGGCTAAATCTGAGAACAAGCAGCCAGAATCCAAAAGTTCTGCCTCACATTCTGCCCCAAAGAGTAATGCAGCAGCATCTACTCCTCAGAAGGCAGAGACCACCAAACCAGTGACTGACAACGTTGTACTTAGTTTAAAAGACTTAGATATAGCCCATGAAAATGTGGAGATTATGATGGATAAACTTTCCACCTCCACGACGACATTTAAAGAAATGCTGCGTGCGCTGAGGTCCCAGTTCCATTCCACCAGCCCACGGTCAGCTGAAGATCCACCTCCCATGTTCAAATTCTCAATCAGTAGTCAGATGGACATTGAAGAGAAGAAAAGACGCTGTGCTAAAGCTTTGAGCATGGGTCTGGTCACTTACTTCAAGTCTCTCAAGTCCATTCTCTCCGCAGATTCTCAGCTCTCAGCAGATGCCAAAAATAAACCAGTGACCCAGGTCAAGGAGGCCACTAATTCTGTTCCAAAACCTGTGACAAAGACAGGCTCTGCTGCGCCCAATAAAGCTACGGAGTCGGCTAAAAAAGTTTATTCTAGTAGCAGCAGTAGCAGCCTCTCAGACGACAGTGACGCAGAGGTGGTCAAAGCAAAACATGCTACAGAGAAGAAAAAAGTCACTTCTAAAGAAAAGGTTAAAAGCTCAGAGGATCACAGCAAAAAAGCTGGCACTAAATCAAATGATGGAAAAAGTAGCATTACTAGCTCTAATAAAACTAAATCAAAAGAAAAGGAGAGTTCGGGAAGTAAAACTGGTGAGGACAAAACACAACGAAGCAGTGCAGAGACAGCTAAGAAAAGTACTGGGAAAGATGCTGCAGATGTTGGTGACATTGCTGCAGTTGCCAAGAAAACCCCCAGCTTAAAACTAGTTAAACTTTCTTCTGAAGATTTAATGAATAAAAAAGATAAAGAACATTCCAGTGAAAAGGCTCAAGAGTCAGAGGTGGCAGACACATCTACTGCTCCAGCCGAAGTGGAGAAGGATGGTGTTGATGAAAACTTGGCTGCCAAGTTTGACCTCATCAAGGAGCTGGGTGAGGAGATGAACACAGACAAAGAGCAGGAGGAAGCTGATCTAGAACTGCCTGTCACTTTCCAAGACTCCACTCTTCCTGATGACAGTGAAAAGGAAACAGTAGAGGCACCAAAAGCAAAAAGAAAAAAGCCTGATGTAACTTCAGATGAAGAAAAGTCAGGGGAGAAAGTCAACAAGAAAAGTAAAAAACCTGACAGCTCAAACCCTGACACTGAAAAATCTGGTGGAAAAGATGGCAAAAAAAGTAAAAAACTTGATGCCTCTGAGTCAAACCATGACACAGACGATGAAAAGTCTGGGTCAAAAGACAAGAAAAGTAAGAAACCTGGTTCTGAGTCCAGCAGTGAGACTACAGAAGAGAAGAAGGTGAAGAATACATCTAGTAAGAAGGAGGCCAATTCAAGCTCAGATCTGTTCATGAGTTCTGATGACGAGACCCCTAAAGAGACCAACAAGAGTGAGTACTTACCATTAAACGTCAGGCATGGGTGGGAGACAGCCAAGGTTTGGATGAGTTAAAGTTGGCCAAGATATATCTGACCACTGTCCATTTGAGCTGGACATGGTGTGTCTGTGTTTATTGAACTATGGTGGCCAACAGAAAAAAGTGGATGAGTCAAATTTGGCCACAATTTGCTTGTAACTAAGTGTTGTGGCGTGCTTATTGTCCTTCCCACTCATGCTGGATGGGGAGATGTCCTTGCTGAGTCTAATATTTTACAATATATTTTATGTGTCCAGCTTACTTAATAGGTCCACCTATTTTCAGCTACATCTGTTAGAAATATTGTTAATGATACAAAAATGTGTAACTTTTAATTATTACCTCTTTTTTTTTTCAGAAAAAGAATCTACAAAAACCGAGGCAAGTAAATCTAAAAAAGTGTCCAAGAAAGAGGAAAAGTCAGAGACAAATGGGGACACAACACCCGCAGATAAAGATGATGATGAGGTAGAGAAAGAAATAAACAAACTGGCCAAAATGCCAGTCATCAGGAAGAGAAAAGCTAAAGAACTTGATGCTGACCAGGAAGAGGACGGTGAGGTCAAGCAAGCAGCGGCTAAAGTTGCTAGGGTATCTAAACCAGGTATTATTTGCTCATTTTAAAATCTTTACTTTGTTGTGGCTCAAGCACTAATTATAACTTACAAAAATTATTTAGCTTCTACAGTAATACAGACCCTGCCGATCATTCCCTCTCCTTGGCTTGTTTTAAAATAATAAGCTGCGTCTTTAGTCAACTAAAACTAACCTGTTGTTTGTGTTTGGTTTTTCTGTAGGTCCCAAGTGTTCCAAGAAAACTACAGACTATGATGACCTGTCTTCTGATGGAGATGGAAATGAAAAGCAAGAGAGTGAGAATGAGAAACTGGACAGTGAGAATGAAAGTGATGATGAAGAAGGACCAAAAGTTACATTTTTTGTGGACTCAGAGACTGCAGCAGAAAAAAAAGTAAGTGTCAACTTTGTACTCACTGCTTCAGTTGATTTCTATCCTGCTCTAGTAAGCTAACACTATGCAGTGTTAAAGTACTCAAATTCCTGCCCCCCAAAAGAATTTCTTACCATTTCTCTTCTTAACTTCATTATTTTGGCATCCAAATTATGGTGTAACGCTTCTGTTGAAACATTCACGGATGTGCTTTTTAAAAAGTTGAAATCACCATCATGTAAAATTTCAGAGATTGTTTTTTTGTGGATTACATTCAGCTACTTTGCCTGTTGGTACTTTTGTTTGTATTTGTCTTACACAAACTACCCGCCTTTCTAAATGACTGTAACTACCAAGCCTAGGTCGCAACGGCTTGCATTGTTTGGTCTATTTGCCTATTATGTAAACACTCTAGTGAAGATTGCTGTTCATAGAAAAGATAAGTTGAGCTTATGGACAATTTATCTTTGGACTATATTAAGTGTTTATAGCATTTATAAACTTTTAGCAGGGAAAATAATACCAAAAAAATAATGGGCAATAGTTTCCTGTGGTAGTTAATTATACAAAATGTATTGTTTGTTTACAATTGGCCATGCAGATCAATGTTAAATTACAGATTTGGCCATCATTTGGGCTAGAGATAATGAGGTTTGGTGACATACAAGAATACTCTGATAGTAATAAGCTAATGTTAAAACAGAGATTTCTGGGCTTAAAATGCTTCTTCAGTCACTTTTTAAAATTATTTTTAGCATTTAAAATTTTTAAAATTATTTAAATAATAGTGTGTGTTAGGGTACATATTCTTTTATAATTAAACTAAGACTACTTCATATATACTGCTTTTTAAGTATATGTGAGGTGGGGGGGGGGGGGGGGGGGGGGTTATGTATCTTGAAAAATATGTAGCCACTTTGCTTTGACACGAAAGGAATAAAAAAGTTTTCATGCCCCGATAGTGAAACAAGTTGTTGATGTTATACACCTCTTTATCAACAGGATGAACATGTGGAAGATGAAGAAAATGAAATGGCTAAAACAGACATCTTAGAAGAGATGGAGAGTGATGTTGAAGACAAAGAGGATGCTGATGACTCAAGTGATGCTGAGTCTGGTAAGATTTTCTTTTCTGGTGTATTGTCAAGCATTTCATTGTGTTGCCTTTGACTGCAGTTTGTGCTATAAGATATGTGTCTAACAATGGGACCAAGGTTTCATTTTAAAGTGCTTTGATTTTATTAGAGACATTCATTGTTTTTATCTATCCTTCTTCGATTGACTAACCTCTGTTTTTATAGGTTGGCTTTTGGTCATACACTTTTCAATCTTGTTTATGTCTGAAATTATATATATTAAAGAAGACAGTTATGAAATCTGTTATTTTTATAAACATGTACAACTTGGATAATTTATTGAAATTTTTCAGACTCTTCAAAAAAAACCAAAGCTAAAAAAGAAGTGAAAGCTAAAGCTGCAACTAAAAAGGAATCAGAGGATGACAGCGATGAAAATATTGGTGCAAAGAGAAAACAAATCCGCAGTAAGCTGCTGGACACCAAACTGTCAGACAGTGACTCAGATGTGGACAAACCTAAAAAGTAAGTCAACCTCTTAGGGTAGCAGAAACTTCAACCTCTTGGGGTAGCAGAAACTTCTTTATATAAGATATTGTTTTATCAAAATACTAAGTAGTGCCATAATGGCGTGAGAGGGTTTTATTGCAATACATCAGAGCTGCATACAATTTGAGTCAAATCAGTTCTTAGTCGGGTGACATCCCTTCCCCATGGCACGAGAGTCAAATTTTTATCTACTGGTTGAAACATTCTTGTCTTTTTTTTCTAACGTTGGCTTTTTTTTTTTTAGGAAAGTCAAGGAGGAAGATGGAGATTTCAAAGGAAGCAATTCTTCAGATTCCAGTATAGAATCTGACCTCTCTGACGACTTAGAGGAGGAAGAGGACGATGATGATGACAGTGATAAAGATAGTGATGATGATGGTGAGAAAAAGGGGAAAAAGAAAGGCAAGAAAAAATCAAAGAGGAAAAGGAAAGGAAAGACAAAGAAAGGAAGTGATGACGAGGCTGAGTCTGAGGAGGATGAGGAAGGTGGAAAAAAGAAGAAGAAAGGAAAGAGCAGGAGGAGAATAAAGAAAATGAGTGATTCATCGGAAGATGAAGAAAAACAGGAAGATGATGATGCAAGTGTCTTTTTTTTTTTTTGCCTATAAAATTTAAGTTGTATTGTGGGCAGTTGAAATTTTCTAATATATGAAAGCACATGTGTGCACCTCTCTCTCTCATTTAAGTCACTTAATCAGTGTGGGCATTTAATATGGTGTTGTGTTGACTAATATAAATAATGTAGGCCCATATAATTTGGTTATAATTTTTCTGATGGGTATTGGAAGCCTACATTATATTAAATGTCAGAATTTTTGCTATGTAGTTATTTCTTTGCTTTGTCACTAATATTGTCCAACGTGTGGCAAAACACATTTCTTTTTTATCAATAACTGTTTTATAAAATTTATTTCTCAAACAAGTATGACATTTAAAAAATATATAGGCCAATAATTCACGTGTAGCTGGTACTGATGGCTAGTTTGTATAGAATTTATCAAACATTCTGTCCCCATATTTTTAACTAATTTCATGGGAGTGTTACATTACATGTTTAAAACTAGTGTAACAAAGGAACATTGTAACTAATGCTAAGTATGTTCTCAGGAACATTGTAACTAATGCTAGGTATGTTCTCAGGACCATTGTAACTAATGCTAGGTATGTTCTCAGGAACATTGTAACTAATGCTAGGTATGTTCTCAGGAACATTGTAACTAATGCTAGGTATGTTCTCAGGACCATTGTAACTAATGCTAGGTATGTTCTCAGGACCATTGTAACTAATGCTAGGTATGTTCTCAGGAACATTGTAACTAATGCTAGGTATGTTCTCAGGATGATCCCAACAGCAGTAAGGCAGGTAAGAGGAAACAGATCCGTAAAGTGATGTCCAACAAAAAGCTGGAGGACTCCACAAAGGCTGCAGCCAAAGCTGAGGAGAAGAGGCGACGCAGGATTGCTGCTAAACAGAGAGAGGTTGGCTGCATGTTTCCACTTTTTTATTTAGTTTTATATAGTTCATTTGTGGCTGCCTAAATATATTTAGGTGTGTTATGTTAAACATGGGGCTTGTCTGTGTACAAGTTTCATATGGGGTTGTCTGTGTTAAGCATGAGCTTTGTAGCTTTAGTGTTTTGTTCTTTGTTTCCCAGTTTAACATTGAGACAATAAAAGATGACAACAATCCCATGGATTGTCCAATCACAACCAAACTGATCCTAGAAGCAGGCAAAGAAGAAGGGGATGAGCCATTGGTTCAAGTCAATTTGAAGTTGGTGCGCAAACTTAAACCTCACCAGGTGGAAGGTATGTTTTGTTAAACCATTTCACTAATAGCATTTCTTTGAGCTGGCGGAACTTTTTTTTTCTAATTACTGATGTGGACTGAGGGTTTCTAGCTGTATAGTTTAAGTGGGAGTGCCTTATTTCTTATTATACGTCCTGAATGTATTTCAGCCGTACAATTTATGTGGGACTGCCTGTTTTCTGATATGTACTGAATGTATTTCAGCCGTACAATTTATGTGGGACTGCCTGTTTTCTTACATGTACTGAATGTATTTCAGCCGTACAGTTTATGTGGGACTGCCTGTTTTCTTATATGTACTGAATGTATTTCAGCCGTACAGTTTATGTGGGACTGCCTGTTTTCTTATATGTACTGAATGTATTTCAGCCGTACAATTTATGTGGGACTGCCTGTTTTCTTATTATAATTATATGTACTGAATGTATTTCAGCCGTACAGTTTATGTGGGACTGCCTGTTTGAAAGTGTGAAGAGAACAAAGAAAGAGCCAGGTGCTGGGTGTATTCTGGCCCATTGTATGGGGCTTGGAAAAACTCTTTCAGTAAGTTATTAGTACACTCTAGATGCTCCATAGCACAAAATAATGTAATGAGCGTTAGTCTTTAGGCTCCTAAAACAGACTAAAATATTTTAATTGACCCTTGTGCCTTTTATCTAAAGTTTTTTGTTCTATTTGTACTAGGTGATTGCATTTGTCCATACAATACTCAGCCATGAGAAAGTCCTGAAGCAGAAAACATGTTTGGTTGTGAGTCCACTGAACACAGTCCTCAACTGGAGGAATGAGTGGACCATGTGGTTTGATGAGGAGGATCAACTGGAGGTAGAGATTCATTAATTTCTCTATGTCTTTAGTTACTGGCTATACAAAGTCTCATCCTAACTGGGTGTTTTGTTGTTCAATATAGTTGATTACATATGCTGCATTTATGTTGATAAATAAAATACAGCAATTATGCAGTAATTTATGAAGAACATTTTCCATATAGTTTTAATAACAAATATTCTGGTAATAATGCCCTGTTTTTATGTTTTTGTCTGCCAGGTGTGGGAGTTGGCCAGCTGCAAACAGAACGCTGCTAGAGCCAGTGCTCTCAAAGACTGGCAGGAGAGTGGAGGCATCATGATCATTGGCTACGAGATGTATCGCAACCTGACCACTGGGAGTAGGTGCAAAAATAAACGTCAGAAGAAGGTGTTTGTTGAAACATTGGTGGACCCAGGTACATAGCCCACATAATTATTTATTTTTGTTCCATATGCTCAGATTTTCAAAATTGCTGGTCCAATTGTAGTAATTACACTTGCGTTTTCTTTGAAATATATGATTTATGAAAAATCTGATTGCTCCTATAGGTCCTGATATTGTCATTTGTGATGAGGGTCATATCTTAAAGAACGAAGCATCAGCTATCTCCAAGGCCATGAACCAGATGAGGACAAGAAGGAGAGTTGTGTTAACAGGAACTCCTTTACAGAACAATTTAAATGAATGTAAGTGCTACATTCTGTTTGCAGATCATGTCTACATCACTGTCTCTTGAGTTTTACCCAGTTTAACGACAGTTTGTATTTTGTCTAGATCACTCACTGTATGGTGTATTTTGTCTAGATCACTGCATGTTGAGTTTTGTCAAGCCAAACCTGCTGGGTACACGTAAAGAGTTCAACAACAGATTTATAAGCCCCATCCAGAACGGCCAGTGTAATGACAGCACACCCAGGGATGTCAAGCTGATGAAGGCTAGAGCTCACATTCTTCATGAGATGTTGGCAGGATGTGTCCAGGTACTGGTCTAACTCTTGTTAGGGGGGGGGGGGTGATCATGATGTTAGTTATTGACAACTGTGATGAATTATGTGTCAGCATTATATAACATTGAGCCAACTTGAAAACTGAGCTCTGTTTGTTCCAGAGGAGGGACTACTCCGCTCTGACCAAGTTCTTACCACCCAAACAAGAGTACGTCATCTCTGTGCGACTGACCAACATCCAGATAGAGCTGTATGAGAAATACATGGAGCTGACTGGTCAAGGGGTGGACGGTGTCTTCTCTAACAAAGGTGCCAGGCTATTCACTGACTACCAGAATCTGATGAAAATTTGGACACATCCATGGGTCCTGAAGCTGGCAGAGATCAGAGATGAATCTAAGGTAACTTACTAAAAAAAAATTGTATTTTATTTTACTTACTTTCATCTGCATCAGTGGTGCTTAACTTGAGTTGGACTATTCCCCACATGAATAACATTTAAATGAACAGTTTAAAGATTCACTGGTCACCTTGTGGTGGGGGATCTCTCGTCTACACCATCCAAAAGTCTAGCTGTGTGTGTTTTAACCATCTGCATCAGTGGTGCTTAACTTGAATTGGACTATTCCCCACATGAATAACATTTAAATGAACAGTTTAATGATTCACTGGTCACCTTGTGGTGGGGGATCTCTCGTCTACACCATCCAAAAGTCTAGCTGTGTGTGTTTTAACCAGACGTGTCGTTGCAGGTCAAGTTTGATGACGAGGACTCCTTCATTGATGATGATGATTCCGATGCTGACAGATCCTTCTCCAGCTCCAACACCACCAGCGAAGATGAGAAGAAGGAGAGTGACAGTGGAGGGGAGGGCACAAGTTCTAGACCTAACATGGCTAGAGGGACCAAGAGGACCAGAGCTAAAGCCAGGTTAGTTTTCACTGCATGACTGGGGGTATGGTAGCTAGCTAGAAATTATTCTTATATGATAGCTATTGCTGGGTTCCCACAGAGCCTATAAAAAACAGGAAATTTCAAGATAAAATTTCTTCACCCAAATATCGCGAGATTTGAACTTGGCATGAGCCTATTCTAATGTAGTCTCGCCAGTTTACGTGGCTTAGAGTTAAAGCTCACTATAATCACCCACAATTTGCGATGGTTGCTACAATTTTCAATTTCTTTCAATTGAACCACTTTTCCAGGTTAGCAAAATTTGAGTTTTAAAATGGCCAGGTTTGAAGTTAGAAAACAAAAGAAGACTTTTGACACATGATTGTAGAAATCGTTTTTATTATGACTCTGGAGCCTTTTTACAGTTGAATCTTTTTCCGCCAATCGCCCAAGCGTACATGGTAAATCTACCGCTATGCTAGCTGAGGGTTACTCAATATTGGCGTGACATCATTTTTTTTTTTTTTAGGATTAGTATAAAATTTAGTTTAGGCTACACAAGATTTTTTTTCGGCTTATTTGAACCTGCTGTGAAATTGCCATGTACTCTAGTGGTGGACCTAAATAAATGTTATTGTTAAAGGACTAGGATCGCGCCTAGTAAAATCTTTTTTAATATCACCTATTTCATGGATAACCGTTTTAGCACATTATTTTACGGTTAGCCAGTGATACTAAATTTGGGAGAAACAAAGATTTTATTTTTTAAAAATAAATTTGCCAAACCAGCTATTCTTGCTTTCATGAAAAAAAAATTTTTAATTACTATCTTCATGATCATAAGCCTGGCTCAGATGTTTATTTTTTTGTTTTTTCAAGTACTTTTTTAATTCGATTTGTTTGAAGAAAAAAGGCCCTATAATCTATCTAATTTCAATTGTTCCTGTTGATCTCATTGTCTATCAAACTAAAATGTTAAAATTATAATTAGACTCGTTTAAGTTTAAAAAATAAACGTCCCTCTAAGAAATGACACAATCATTAATTTGGAAACATTGTGAATGATCATTATAGTTTAACTAAGTTCATTTTAAAAAAAAACATTTTTCATTTTAGTGAACTTAAAAAATAATCGTTTCAGTGTTATTTCATAATAACAGAAACTTCTTTTATTTTAGATATTCGCTATGTTAAGGTATTAATTAATTAGTACAATAATAGCATGAGGGGGATTTTTGTCCAATTTTATTTTTTTTAATTTCTGACACGACATCAAGTTTTGGAATTGAATTTTAGGATATGACTTTAAAAAAATTAGTGGCACCCCTTAAAAAACGTCTGCTTTTTTTTAGGTTTAATTAAATTTTATTTGGCAAGTTAATGTTCAATGGTTATGCGCATTGAAATTTATATGAAAAATAGCAGGGAATTTCTTCGAATAGTAGCGAATTTTCTGGTCAGAAATTGTTGGAACCCTGTTATTGTTGCTAGTAGTCAGTCAAAATGTCATAAAGAAATATTCCCTTTCTGTTTTACAAGCGCAAACCTTGTTCAATTCACTTAAATGTCTGACTGCTAACCTCAGAGTTTTCTGGTCTGAAAAACACAAACTTTGAGGTTAACAAGCATTGAACTTGCCCACAAGTTTAATTTTTTTCTCCCTCGCTGAATATAAGATTGAGTCACATGATAATTACAGGAGACAAGCTGGAGAGGACAGTGACCCAGAGGAGGTGATAGCTGAGTGGAAGTCTAAGACCAGGGGTAAGGAGGAGGAAGAGGGTGCTGAGGACCAGGACAAGGCTGTGACTAAGGAGTGGTGGGCTCCGTACGTGACGGAGGACGACAAGAACAAGTTGGAGCTCAGCAACAAGCTCTATCTGCTCTTTGAGATCCTCAGGATGTGTGAGGAGATTGGTGACAAAGTGTAAGTACAGAGCTACAGCATTCCTCTAACTTACACTATGTGCTCAATATTCTCTTCCTTACATTATATGCCCAACATTCTTCCTTACATTATATGCCCAACATTCTCTTCCTTACATTATATGCACAGCTTTCTCTTCAATGGTTGTTGATTGTTGTCTGTAATGAGGTGTAATTATTATTTAACCCTTTTTACAATTAAATAAAACATACAGGAAAATGGTCTAAGTCTATTATTAAATGTAGTTGAATTAATTCATAATTTACTAATAATAATTTTAACAATATTAATCCTAGAAAAACAATAAATATGCAAGTTCTAAATTATTTCAACAAAAATGGTTTTAGAAAACGCAGATACATTGGATCGCACCACAAGGGAAAATTCTCTTGCAATAGCTGGCAGGTAGAATTGTGAAGGGTTAAACGTTTTACTAGATGATGTGTTTATAAACTGTGATGTTAGATGTCATGTGTTAATGTGCCACGTTTTCTCTGACAGGCTTATCTTTAGCCAGAGTATTTTATCACTTAACATCATTGAGAACTTCCTGGAGACCATCGACTCCAAGTTCCAGCAGGAGTGTGAAGCTCTAGGGGAGGGGGAGAAGGATGAGAAGGAAACTTTTGGCAAGAGCTGGACCAAAAACCTGGATTATTACCGTATGGACGGAACCACAAGTGCCCAGAACAGGCAAACCTGGGCATCCAACTTTAATGATGTTGACAACTACAGGTAGATGGTTTTTAAAGATTTTAGACATGGTTTTCCAGTTCTTCTTTAGGAGGGACTGTGGCATAGATTAAGACATGCATTTCAAGTTCTTCTTTAGGGGGGACTGTGGCATTGATTTTAGACATGTATTTCCAGTTCTTTCAAAATAAATTTCTAACTTGCTAGTTCTAATATGTACTTAAATGTGAGTTTAAAATATGTTTCCAGAGCTCGCTTGTTCCTCATCTCTACACGTGCTGGTGGCCTTGGCATAAATTTGGTTGCTGCCAACCGTGTGATCATCTTTGATGCATCGTGGAACCCCTCTCATGATGTCCAGTCCATCTTCAGAGTGTACAGGTTTGGTCAGACCAAGCCTTGCTACATCTACAGGTTCTTGGCTCAGGTAAGGCTTCTTCCTTGTGACAAAGTAAGACACTTTGCATGCAAAGCTTTTAGGGAGAGAGCAAAAAATGTGAAGAGGGGTGTAAGATAATCTTTATTCAAAAAAAGTTGTGTGCCTGAACATCAAAAGGTAGCAAAATAGCTATTTCTCATTAAATAATTGTTGGACATAGTATGAAATGAAAATATTTGTTTTCTAGGGCACTATGGAAGAAAAGATTTATGACAGACAGGTAGCCAAGCTGTCTCTATCTCAACGAGTTGTGGACGAGCATCAGATAGAGAGACATTTCTCAGCCAATGACCTCAAGGAGCTGTATAACTTCAGGCCTGACCGCTGGGGTGACGGGACAGAAAAACCAACTCTAGCCTTGCCTAAGGTACAACACACATACATACTTATACAGAAGATCTAAGACCAAAACTGTCAGCTTGTGTTGTGTGTAGTTGTTTTCTAGTCTAGAACATATCAGCTTCAATTGTGTAAAACATTTGTTAGGCTTTCAAGAAGATAAATTTTTAACAAGGGGGATAATACAGGACTGCCTACTTGTATGATTGTGACCATTTTGACACTCAAGTTATGATATTACCATTATGTCTTAATGTTTACGCTTTTGCCTCATTTGAAAATCAAACTCTATGAAAATCTATGGTGTAAACTTTCTCTGACCCTGCGAGTGTATATCATGAACCTAGACTTGAGATCATTTTTGTGGTCGCTTACAGAAGTTGACAGTGTAATTAGCTAGCCTCTTACAGGAGTTGACAGTGTAATTAGCTAGCCTCTTACAGAAGTTGACAGTGTAATTTGCTAGCCTCTTACAGGAGTTGACAGTGTAATTAGCTAGCCTCTTACAGAAGTTGACAGTGTAATTTGCTAGCCTCTTACAGAAGTTGACAGTGTAATTTGCTAGCCTCTTACAGGAGTTGACAGTGTAATTAGCTAGCCTCTTACAGAAGACAGTGTAATTAGCTAGCCTCTTACAGAAGTTGACAGTGTAATTTGCTAGCCTCTTACAGAAGTTGTAATTAGCTAGCCTCTTACAGAAGTTGACAGTGTAATTTGCTAGCCTCTTACAGAAGTTGTAATTAGCTAGCCTCTTACAGAAGTTGACGGTGTAATTAGCTAGCCTCTTACAGAAGACGGTGTAATGATTCCCTTTTTGTAACTCCCTTAGGACCCCCTGCTTGCTGAGATCCTACAGAACAACAAACATTGTGTGAACTCCTTCCATGAACATGACTCACTCCTGGAGAACCAGGTGGACCAAAACTTGACGGAAGAGGAGAAGAAAGCAGCCTGGGAGGAATATGAGAATGAGAAGAAGGGCATTATCATTAGAGGTAAGTACACACAAGCGTGTTTTTTTTTTTTTTTTTTTTTGTTGTTTTTTTTTAATTTGAGGCATCTTTTAATAGAAAAATTAAGTATCTGACCCATTCTAAGATCATTGTAACAGTATTTGACCACGTGTAGATAAGATAGTTGTTCATTTATTTTTTTCTCTCTTAAGTGAGATAATTGTCACATTATTTGACTATTTGTATGTGAGATAGTTAATTCTGTGTCTCCCTCTCAGGCCCAGGCATGGAGAGAACAGCCAGCTGGCCCATGATGGCTGCAGCTCAAATTTTAAGCAGAGAGCAGATAACAGCTACGGTACAGGCTCTAAGGCAGCAGGTAACTCATTGTTTCACCTTTGGCACTGTCTAGAAATTCTTCACTCCTTTGTATGATCCAACCTACATGTTGTGACTGACCTGCCAGACATATCTGAAGATTTGTTCCACCTACATGTTGTGACTGACCTGCTAGACATATCTGAAGATTTGTTCCACCTACATGTTGTGACTGACCTGTTTTCTTTCAGCTGCCAGACATATCTGAAGATTTGTTCCACCTACATGTTGTGACTGACCTGCTAGACATATCTGAAGATTTGTTCCACCTACATGTTGTGACTGACCTGCTAGACATATCTAAAGATTTGTTCCACCTACATGTTGTGACTGACCTGCTAGACATATCTGAAGATTTGTTCCACCTACATGTTGTGACTGACCTGTTTTCTTTCAGCTGCCAGACATATCTGAAGATTTGTTCCACCTACATGTTCAACAAGCCCTAAGGAGACAAGTACAGATCAAACAGGAGGAGCTCAGGAGGGTTAGTACACCTGTCTTTTAGAATTAGCTCTATCTTTGTTACAAGATTTTACTTAGTTCACATCAGTTTGTGAAAAATCTTGTAGCTCAGTTTTTACCAACTTCTGCTGCAGCGATTTTAGTCAAATTGTCCAGATACCTTCGTCTTCGAGGGAACGCATGAATATCTATTTTTTAATTTGATTGGATGTTAGTCATTAAAAATTAATTAAATGGTTTCAAAACTAACGGGACATAATACGATTAAATACTAGCGATCGCTCAGTAGATTACTATATTCAATAACAGAAGGGGAGATAACTAGCCTAGTTCTGTGAGCTGTAGTTCACACCAACTGTTAACAATTGTAGAGCCAGGTCAAATTATTGAAGGCTATTAGGGCAGTGGCGTGCAGAGGGGGGGGCGGAGGGGGCCCAGGCCCCGGGCAGCCACATCAAGGGGGCATCCAAAGGGGGTAAAAAAATGATTTTATTTTTGATTTTTTTTTTTTTTTTTTTTTTTTTTTTTTTTTTTTTTTTTTTTTTTTTTTTTTAGGAAAGCTAAATGTCTACTAAGGTTTGTCTACCTAGGCAGAATTATCAAATTATCACAATTTGCCGAATTCACCGAAATGTGTATATAAAATCAACACATGGCACTGATATAGTCATCGTACTGTCCGTGTCGTACAACCTTCAGGGAGAAAGGGGCATTGGTGAAGGGTAGTGGTGTAGTAGTCATTGATATTCCCCGAATAAATGTATGCAGTCTTTCAATTAATAGAGTATCTGATACTTGTGTAGGTAGGGGCATCTTTTAGAGAACACGCCCATAATCATTTTATACACTTGTGGTCATCCATAGAGTATTAAAGTCCATGATTATAATTTACACACTGTAGGGGCATCTTTTAGAGAACATGCCCATAATCATTTTATACACTTGTGGTCATCCATAGAGTATTAAAGCCCATGATTATAATTTACACACTGTAGGGGCATCTTTTAGAGAACACGCCCATAATCATTTTATACACTTGTGGTCATCCATAGAGTATTAAAGCCCATGATTATAATTTACACACTGTAGGGGCATCTTTTAGAGAACATGCCCATAATAATTTTATACACTTGTGGTCATCCATAGAGTATTAAAGCCCATGATTATAATTTACACACTGTAGGGGCATCTTTTAGAGAACATGCCCATAATCATTTTATACACTTGTGGTCATCCATAGAGTATTAAAGCCCATGATTATAATTTACACACTGTAGGGGCATCTTTTAGAGAACATGCCCATAATAATTTTATACACTTGTGGTCATCCATAGAGTATTAAAGCCCATGATTATAATTTACACACTGTAGGGGCATCTTTTAGAGAACATGCCCATAATCATTTTATACACTTGTGGTCATCCATAGAGTATTAAAGCCCATGATTATAATTTACACACTGTAGGGGCATCTTTTAGAGAACATGCCCATAATCATTTTATACACTTGTGGTCATCCGTAGAGTATTAAAGCCCTCAATTTGCCGAATTCACCGAAATGTGTATTTACAATCAACAAAAGTCATTGGTGAAGGGTAGGGGTATAGTAGTCATTGATGTTCCCCGAATAAATGTATGCAGTCTTTCAATTAATAGAGTATCTGATACTTATTTAGGTATAGTGTAGGTAGGGGCATCTTTTAGAGAACATGCCCATAATCATTTTATACTCTTATGGTCATCCCATAGAGTATTAAAGCCCATGATTATATTTTATACACTGTAGGGGCATCTTTAATGTAATTTTGCTTATATTCATCATAATAGTTTTGAAGGGCATCCACACAGTAATTTTGCCCGCATTCATTTTATATATCGTCAGGGCATCTTTAAAGTAATTTACTTGTATTCACGTTTGTATTTATATAATTACAGCAATTATCCCATATTCGTTTTATATATTATCGGATGATATTTATTTTGCTTATATTCATTATTGAATGTCTGATGGGCATACATACAGTAATTATATGCCCATGTTCGTTTCATATATTATCGGAACATTTTTATTATGTTTCTATTCATTGCATGATGTTTGTAGGGCTTCCATACAATAATTATGCCCATATTCATTTTGATGGACGTAACGGCATTCGTAGAGTGATTAAGCACATTCACATAGCCTGTTCTTATTTTTATTGTAATTATGATCTTTATAATATTCATGACCATAGGGATTTTTGTTTTATAAATATTGTAGGGATTAAATTCAAACTAAAAAAGTGCGTACTGTTTTGATACACTGGGCTGAGTTCACTTCATTGTAAAGTTGTCCTGAAGTCTCACACGTCTAAATTACCGGCATTCACGGCCGCCCGGTAGTCCCGTCGAGAAACACAAAGGTGTAGCTGGCTGTCACTTTGTTCCCTCCCTCAATTTAGACAAACCTCCTATTGTACTCGAATCTGGAGACTGTTTTTTTCCATCCGATAAGCATAAATTTAAATGCACAATCTGCGTGATCTTTTACCTCACCACACCAACTTTCACCCACCCCAAATCACTACTCATTATCTTAATTGGGGGCACATAATATAGACCCAGTTTTATTTCAACTAATAGTAGAGCCATCTGTAGAGTAATTGATCCCAAATTGATGTAATGAAATGTGGGGGTGGGTTCAGGCCATGGTCAACATTAGTGGATTTCCCCCCACCTGAACTGGACAGAAGGCGTTACCGGGTTTTAAATTTGGCAATACAAGTCCAAGTTGTAGGGAGGGTCTGACATAGCGAAGTGAATGGTTAGACACGGGCCGATGTTTTAGAGTACCTAGCATCACATCTCCTTAAAGCATTGAACTTTTGACCGAGTGGTTTAGAGATTTTTAAAATCTAAAACATCTCTAGTTCAATGCACACTCTCACCTGTATTAGTTACACTATAGGGATTCCTAAATAGGCGAAGAGAGAAACATCCCATCAATAAAGGCGTGTCTGACGCAACGCCCTAATTGTAGACACGGACGTTTTTGTACCCTCGGTGCCGGGCGGTAATACAAAACCGGATGAGACTCTTTTGTAGTGCATCACAGCCCCCCCTCCCTTCCCACCATGACACGTCAGGCAATTCTCTCCCCTCTCTCCCCCCCTCCCCCCCCTCTCTCCCCCCCCCCCCCCCCCCCCCCCCCCCCAAGTTCCAACCATTCATTCCTTTTGGATTTTTCTGGCTGTAGTCAACGTTTTCATCTTAATTAAGATAAGTACAATTTTTTAAATAACTGCTTTTCTATGTGTATTAACGGATTGTAACTAAGCTTTATATATATATATATATATATATATATATATATATATATGGGGGCATCTTCCGCTTGATTTTGCCCCGGGCATCTACATAGGTCTGCACGCCACTGTATTAGGGATAGATAATATAGTTTTTAAACAATTTGAAAGTAAGGACAGGTAGCAAGATAACCCACTATCCTTTGCTTTATCAGCTTGCTGTGTCTGTAAATTGTGGTCACAGGCGGTTGCTTTCACTCGGTAGATAATTGTCTTTTAGATATCGTGAGCTACTGATGTTTTAAAGCAAATATTTTTAGTCAAGTGGACTTCATAAATTAGGAATGACTTAAAAGTAAAAAATAAATTTAATATAAAAAAAACTTAATAGCAACAAGCTTTTAAATGCACTGAAAATAAGAAAATAATACTGAATTGGTTTTTATAATAGCAGCTTTGGTTGCTCATGAGATCTTTTACATATTTTAGGAACAAAGGCTTTTATTAAAGAAAGCAAATTAGTTTTATTTTCTTATTTTCAGTGCATTTTGAAGCTTGTTGCTATAAAGTTTTTTTACTTTCTCGTATATACGAAGTATAGAGAAAGTCTTTTAATCGTGCAAAAAAAAAAGAATCGAGATTTTTACAAAGCTCGACGTTTTACACCTCACTGATACGGAAAAACATAATTTTGCAATCTTGTCCGTCTGTCTGTCTGTCTGTGTGTAAACACGATAACTTGAGTACCGTTACAGCTAGGTTGATGGAATTTCATATATAAGTATTTTATCAAAATCGTAGATCCTGATCAACTTTTGTGCGATTTCCGATAGCCGGAAGTGGTACTTTTTCTACTTTGAATTTTTCAAAAGCTTATAACCTGAGTACTATTTCAGATAGATAAATGAAATTTCACATGTAAGTAAAAGATCTAATTCTCTACCTTCTATCAAATTTTGAGTAATTTCCGTTGACCTAAAGTACTAATTTACACTATTTCAGATTTCTCAAAAAACGCATGTAAATTTATAAAGTACTAATAATATTGCGCACTATTATGAACATCTTTATTTGGCGTTCTTTTTTCTATGAGATTCTATTCTATTTTTAAAAGTTTAAGTAATTAAAAATCATGTCTATATTCCAAGTTATATAAGAATATTCGAGAAAGTTTAGGGGAGATCACTCCCGGTTTATTTTTTACATTTGATTTTTAACTATATTATCTGCACAACACAAAATTGTCTAACTATGCACTGGTCAGGTATAGTTTGTTTACATTTACTACAGCTGTGAGAGAAAATGTGTTAAAAAGAAAGTATTTGGTTTTTAAAATGTAGTAGTTTAGTCCTGTACTCTGATCCTGCCACAGAAATGTAACATAAACGTTGACCCTGTCCTGTAATGAAACCATTGTCCTTGTAGATGGAAATGTTGCGCCTGCAAGAGATGAGTTACCTGAACATGATCAAACAGCAAGCCCAGCAGAGTGGCCTGACACACACCCAAGGGCTCCACGCCATGCAGAACATGGCGCCATGGATGCAGATACAGAGGCTGAGGGCCATGCAGAACCAGATGATGATGGTAGGGCATTCACATCAGCATATGGCACATATTTTAGAATCAAGGCTCATGCTTCTATAGTATGTGTGTCTTGTTCTGTAAATCAGCATATGACACATATTTTAGAATCAAGGCTCATGCTTCTATAGTATGTGTGTCTTGTTCTGTAAATCAGCATATGACACATTTTAGAATCAAGGCTCATGCTTCTATAGTATGTGTGTCTTGTTCTGTAAATCAGCATATGACACATATTTTAGAATCAAGGCTCATGCTACTATGGTATGTGTGTCTTGTTCTGTAAATATTGCTTGACATGATGACCTACTTTAACATTTCTTTCAGGGTTTCTACTATATTTATTAGACTGTTAATAAAACCACAAAATTTTAACCATTCATTTGATCCTATATCAAAATATTCAAACTTAAAAAACTATAGTTAAATAATCTGTATTAAAATAATTAAAAATGAAAAACCAAACTGAAGATACCTACAAACTATGCTGGATTTACTTATAAATGCAAGTTGATAGAACAAAAAAAAACCATTTAAATGACTTTTTTCTGAATTTTATCTTCTAAATATTGCAACCAGCCGGAGTTAAATGTTGTGCTTGTAAATATATGTACTATACTTAGTCTTGGTTGCATCGAACTTTAAAGGATTAATGTTGAGATACAAAGTGGTTTATAGTTCTCTGTGCAGATGTATCAAATGTTGTTTTCTGTTGACAGGGTGGTATGGGCAACATCCATCCCAGCGCGTCCATGTCCCTGCTGGGTCAAGCCTTGTCCAATCAGGAGATGGTGGAGAGGATTAGCAACAAGCCTGAAGAAGCAATTGATCTAGATGACAATTAAATGGGATGTAATGTTAGATCATTATGGGGTATGGGTGGGCCAGTTAATTAAAGCACTAATGTCTGTCACTTGACCAGCCTACTGGTTAACTGACCAGTCGAGTGGGTCCTTGACCAGTCAAGCAACAGGTTATGAGAACGTGTTCAGCTGTAACTTATTGACCAGTGGTAGACAAACATATCATTGATGAGGAGAAACAATTATTGTTGATGAAATGAGACCATTTGTTTGTTTGTTTATTCTCCACATTTTGTTTACAATGGTTGTTCAAATTTTCATGAGTGTTTTCGTGTGTGATACAATGTGCTGACCAAAAATAATTGAATCCATGTTGACAGTTACATTTTTATCTGTAAAAGAAAAGTTGAATCAGGGTTAATTTTTTTGTATTCAAAAATGTGTATGAGTGTAGCTGCAAGTGATTGAACTTAAAGACTAGTCTTATCTCTAATAGACTTGTGTGTGCTAGTCCTTTAACATCCTACTTCATGTAGGTTTCTGTATTTTACTGTAAAATCGTAAATAAAATTTTCTCATCAAAGATGTAAATGTAACAATTTAAAAATGTAAATGTGGCATAACTTTGTGACAAATGACACTTGAGTATGACATTGTGACAAATGACACTGGGTGTGCCGTGTCACCGTGTAAAATTGTTTTTGTAAATATATCAGTATTAGTTGTTTATATGACTGCCCCCAGCCCTGGTGTTATAAAATTTATATCTTGCTTGTCTTGTTGAAGACGCACATGTCAGCATTGATTTCTGTTCAAAAACTTTGTCTGTTGGGCTGGGTCAAGTTGTTGTACATACGTTCCAGGCTTTCATCTGCTACAGGTGCCGCTAAATTCAAACAGGTTGACTAGGGGCCCTGGTTCAGTTTCTAGCAGATCATCTTATCTGTTGAGATTGACCACTGAAGACTGTCCAGCACCACCTGACCACTACCATGTTCAAAAGAAAATCTTGTACATTTTCCCCGGCCACCCTTCAAAAGTTAGTCGACCCAGTGTAGCTTACACCTTGTGTTCCCCCACCAGTGTAGCTTACACCTTGCCCCCCCCCCCCCCCAACTAGCGTGTTAGTCTCTGGTTGCTTGTAGGTGGCCCAGCTTTTCATTTGCTGCTCTAGTTGATGTGGCCTGACTGGCAAGCAATGCTAAAACATAAGCAATGTTATCTGTTGTCACTTGCAAGTTGTTGAAATTATTTGGTTGCTTCCCTTGGTATTCCCCCCAATAGTCGTGTTGTATCATTTGAATCAAATTTTAGTTCAGTGTTTGTAATCAAGTCTTCATGATGTCAGAAAAAAAAACAAATAAAAGTGTAAAAATAACCCACTCGTTTGTTGATATCATTCAAATAAACAAATGTTGATGATGGGTGAAAAATGTGTTGGTCAGGGTCCCACAAAAGGTTGTTTGACGAAATGATTTCTGGTCGAAAAAAAAATAATAAAGTGGAACATGACAAACACCCTTTCCCTCTATACATATCCAGCTCTCTTTTCTTAAGCCTATTTCTAGCACAAACCACTCCTCAACCTGTTATCTTTTCCTAAGGGGGGGGGGGGGGGGGGTGTCAGGCTCCTGAAACAGCTCAAATTTGTGGCACCGATTTCTTCTATTGTGGACCCATACGGTGTCGGGTTACGTAATATCTAAATAGTGCCTGCGTGAGGTAGGAACTAGAGAATACATAACCAGGTTGTTTTTGCGAAAATAGCCCTAGCTAGACAAACAATTAGTAGAGGTAAATAACTCTTCATTAAAAATTATTCGCATTTTTTAAATCGCATGACAATAAATATTACTGATCTAATCAAACAATGAGTAAAGGGAACTAACTCTTATCATGATTATATTTAAAATTATTCGCATTTTAAAATTGTATGACTATTAATATTATTTTGATTTAGTGACCAAGACCAATTTTACTTCTGAAATAAATTATAATTTCACGAAATAATTATTTGACACGTGAAGATAGCAAGTAAAGAGCAACCTTAACCAAGCTTTGTTCTAACCCATTAGGAGGCAGAGGCGTAGCGACCCTTCCCGGCGCCCGGGGACATACTTTCAATTTGGCGCCCCCTTGGGAGCAAATTTTCGATTTGCACCCCCCCCCCTCGAACTTTTCATTTGCACCCCCCCCCTCAAACTTTCGATTTGCACCCCCCCCCCCTCGAACTTTTCATTTCCACCCCCCCTCAAACGTTCAATTTGGCGCCCCCCCCCCCCTAAGGTCGGCGCCCGGGGACATATGTCCCCCCCCCCCCCCCGCCCCCCCCTCGCTACGCTACTGTTAGGAGGCAGGATAACTAGCTACGCACCTAATTAAGAATGGTAGTCCCCTTTTTAAAATACATTCATTATTTATATGCCTTTCAGTTAACTCTTTTAATTCGTAATATTATTGAACAACGTCCTACTTAACTCATTTCTTTATACGTTATTTAAAAATTATCTTCTATTTTTTTAAAGCTAACTTTTTGACGATTTCTTTAAAATATCTGCCTCAATATTTGATCCAGTTTGTCATGTTTTTAAGTTGTTTGAATTCAGATTTCTAAATAATGTAATGAATTCCAACTTATCACAATAAAACACGATTATAAAATATTTGCTGGTGTTCCCTTAATTCCCTAAGCACGTGCTTATATATCGTATTATTATTAATCCAGCCACTGGTACACCCGTATGAAGATTAGCTTAATACCCCTGTTGCAGACCCCTACATGGATCCCAAAGTAGATCAACCCCCCCCCCCCCCTCCTCCCTCTGCACTGATTATCCACTCACAATTTTCATCTTTTCAAAAGTTCACCCCAAACTCTAGCCCTGCGAAACGTGACAATCTAATCATCCCAACAAAAGAATTAAATTATTGACCAAAAAATATTCCAAGAAAAATGAAAAGTCCAGCGAGGAGGAGTGGGCCCTCCACAGAAATTAGCGGGCCCGTGTGGGAAGCGGGGGATCTTTCCAATATGTCCCGTCTGCTTTTTGAGAGCTTTCCGGTGGCACCCCACCGCCCCCCATCCCCACCCCGGCCCCTTTGATTAGTTATGAAGAAATACTCAGGCACCGTTCCCGTTTATTGGATATCTCAAGGACATGAATTACAGAAAAAATTAATAGCACGCGGGGAGGGGAGGAGGGGGGCGTTTAAAATTGGTCCCACAAAAAAAGGGGGGGGGGGGCTAAATGATGTTGCAGACCTCAAGACAAATTCCCGTAAAAAATCCATATGAACCGTCACTTCTCTACCATCTTCCTCTCCATCAGTGCCAGCCTTCCTTAACCCTGGTCTGTGCCGACCCCCTTAACCCCAGTCTGTGCCGACCCCCTTAACCCGAGGCTGTGCCGACCCCCTTAACCCCAGTCTGTGCCGACCCCCTTAACCCGAGTGTTGGGCCGACCCCCTTAACCCGAGTGTTGGGCCGACCCCCTTAACCCGAGGCTGTGCCGACCCCCTTAACCCGAGTGTTGGGCCGACCCCCTTAACCCGAGGCTGTGCCGACCCCCTTAACCAGAGTCTGTGCCGACCCCCTTAACCCTGGTCTGTGCCGACCCCCTTAACCCGAGTGTTGGGCCGACCCCCTTAACCCTGGTCTGTGCCGACCCCCTTAACCCCAGTCTGTGCCGACCCCCTTAACCCTGGTCTGTGCCGACCCCCTTAACCCCAGTCTGTGCCGACCCCCTTAACCCGAGGCTGTGCCGACCCCCTTAACCCCAGTCTGTGCCGACCCCCTTAACCCGAGTGTTGGGCCGACCCCCTTAACCCGAGTGTTGGGCCGACCCCCTTAACCCGAGGCTGTGCCGACCCCCTTAACCCGAGTGTTGGGCCGACCCCCTTAACCCGAGGCTGTGCCGACCCCCTTAACCAGAGTCTGTGCCGACCCCCTTAACCCTGGTCTGTGCCGACCCCCTTAACCCGAGTGTTGGGCCGACCCCCTTAACCCTGGTCTGTGCCGACCCCCTTAACCCGAGTGTTGGGCCGACCCCCTTAATCCGAGTCTGTGCCGACCCCCTTAATCCGAGTGTTGGGCTGACCCCCTTAAACCCAGTCTGGGACTGACCCCGGGAAAAGTAGCTGGCAGGGGTCTTTTAGCGGCAGCCATGCAACATTTTAATTTTATGCAAGGCTTCATCAATCTAGTCCTGTTGTTTTTTTCGTGGGCAGCTAGCTCTATGGCTGGTAGCTCTAGGAGAGCTAGCTCTATGGCTGGTAGCTCTAGGACAGATAGCTCTATGGCTGGTAGCTCTAGGACAGATAGCTCTATGGCTGGTTGCTCTAGGACAGCTAGCTCTATGGCTGGTAGCCCTAGGAAGGCTAGCTCTCTGGCTGGTATTTCTATGGCTTGTAGCTTTACTTGTTGGTGTGTGTGTGTCAGTGTGTCCATTTGTTGGTGTGTATGTGTGTTGGTGTATCGTCTCTGATGGACACCAACATAACAACACTTACACAAAACTACTTCAGCACTTGGTTGAAACTGTTCGCGAAACAAAATGTTTCCAAATACCCCCACCCCCTCCCCACCCCACCCCCAGAAGAATTTCAGGTTGGGATACTCCCCCACACAGTCACGTGCGCTACTACTGTTAGTTCTGTATTAGATCATAGGGTGAAAGTATGTTTAGTGAGTTGTATGTATAGTAAGTTGTATGTATAGTAAAGTTCAGGTTTCCTGCCGATTTACTGCTTGCTTAGTTCCCTTGTTTTTTCTTTCTTTTACAACAAAGTTTTCAAGAACCAGCAAAAAAACGAAGACAGAAGAAGTTTCCTGAAGACCAAATGGTCATAGAAGAAACTCTGGAACTTGTGAGCCTGCCTCCCCGCCTCCCCGCCTCAGCCCTTTAACTCCCTACCCCAGGGATCAAATATGAAACAAGAAAAAAAATGGAGGAGAGAAAATTACCAGTCCCCAGTGGACTTGTCCTTTCTGATAATTTTCTCAATTTCAGAAGTCACGTGCCCAGCAGAACCTAATCAACTAACGAACGCCTATCCCTCAGGTGCGCATGCGCGGAATAATGGCGCAGGCGTCAAGGAGCCCCGGGGCGCAGTGGTCAGTCCCCAGTGACCCCCCCCCCCCCCCCCCCCGCCCTCGTCTTGATAGCGAGGACAGATTTATAGTTGTGCTGCGCTGGTCTTATGGCATGTCATACAGGTCAGGTGAAAGGTCAAGGTGGCTGATACAGGGGCGTTAACTCAGCACACGATTTGTGTTATGGGAAAAAAGTTTAGGATCCATTTATTAAGTGAGTTTAAATATAAAGTATGGTTTTATGGTCTTAATATTATGGGGATTAGGCCCCCACCCAACCCTTAAGGCACTCTGTATTTAATAATACAATAAATATTTAAACATGTCTTTAGAAAATTAAAAATACCTTTTCGCTATCTCATGACCTATCACCTCGCTACCTCATGACCTACCACCTCGCTACCTCATGACCTCTCGCCAGTCACTTGACCTTTAACCTAATCTGTCCAGAATCCCATAGGAATTGATACTTGAAAAATTGTAATAGTATCCTCGGCAACCACCAAGCAACCAGGTGGCGCTGTGGGTCGGGCGAGCATCCCCCTCCCCTACCCTCAGCCCCCCCCCCCAACACCTACCCCCCTCCCTCCCCCCCCCCCCCCCCCCCCCCCACCTATCACATACCGGGTAACATATCCTTGCTAATCTCCAGTAGGACGGTGAAATGGTGGCCAGATGACTGTTATTAACATTCACAAGGGGACGTAATTCCATTCACGCTAGCGTTACCTACCCCTAGTTGGCTGGAAAGAAAGACAACTAGGGTTCCATTTCAGTCGTTCTTTTGTTGTGTATTCACAGTAACATCCCATGAATGGCTTGTGTACCAGCCGCAGGTGTGTCACGTGATCGGTCAGATCAATCACGTGACAGGACGACACGAGGAGCTCATAAAAATAGTGTGACATGGGGGGGGGGGGGGGGGTTGGGGGGCATTATGACAGTGGGGTGAACATGACTTAGAATTTTGTGGGGAGTATAATTGGGTGGGGAACGAATTCATAGAATTTAGTGGGGAGTGGACGCGAATTCATTGAATTTGAAAATATGAAAAGTGGACGAAACACTATTTTATTAGAGCGAAACGTTCTACGGGAATGGTTAACATACGGTGACCAGAAAGATGCGCAACGGAAAAAAGCGCAACGGAAAAAAGCCAAAAACAAAAAGTGCAACGTAAAAAAGCGCAAACAGAAAAAAGCGCCGCATACATTTTTATATTAACTGAGGCCTAATGAAATACCTTAAATAGCAACCAATCAATTGTATTTTTAAAATCCTGTTGA